CAAACTGGGTGCCGTTGGTCCGTCTCGCCTTCCGGGATGGAGTCCACGTGACTCGTCTTGTGCTTGGCTCGAGAATTTACAGGACATGGCTCGCAGTAGACACCAGTGGCGCGTCTGCTGCCGTCTCCTAATCACATTGCCTGTTTAAAGTATGTTTGGTGCTGAGTTATTTGCGGGGTAATGGCTGATTATGACGCGGTGCAGTGAAAGCTGCAAGAAAGCTGTCTTTCCGATACCGCCTTATCTTTACACGATTGCCAGATGTTTGGGACGGTATGGTGTTAACACAAGGTGTAGGCACCTTGACCCTGAATATTTGCTTAGGGCATTAAGGTTTTCAGCTAAGTCCCCCTTTCTCTCCCTTTTCTTATTCTTTATTTCATAGGTCCTCATGGTTGTGTGGCAGCGAAGCATCAGTTCAAATGGCTGATGTACTGCTGTTGATGATGATGATGATGATGGCGAAGATGAACGGTGAGCGCTTGCTACAACTGTGTGAAGATGTTCGTCTCTTTCTCGCAACCACTAATTTTCGGCACTGCTTCCACAGAAAAGTGACTTGGCGCCCACCAACCTCTGACTAGCCATGGACGCAAATCAATCACATTGCGATCAGTTACCGCTGGAGACTTCGTCCCAAACTATCGCTCGATTTGGAGCCCGAGCGTGGACTCTGACCAGGCACTTGTTTGCGCCGACCTTCGGGTGCGTTTTCGCAGACGTCCGCAACGTCGCTTTGAGCGCATAGACACCAGCCAACTGGCGAATTCAGCTGTTCGGAATGCATATCAAACTACGCTGGTGTCTGAGCTGCTTTTGAGTTCACTGAACACAGTTGAAGATCACTGATCGCGTATTCGCCATACGTTATTAGCAGCAGGCATGTCTATATGTGAAATCAAATCGCCAACCTGGACATTGGGTTTTTTCGCAGTCTCTGGTACTTATGGATGCTCGCCGACTTGTTCTGACTGAAAGCGAATGTAATGAAACTCGCAGAGATCTCTTAGCGACACTGCGTGCTAGCCTGAAGAGAGGACTGCGAAGTGTGGTAGTCTCATCGTGTATCGGAGTTAGAGACAGCTGCTGCCGCTTGTAACCATCGGAAGTTATTCCGTCTGATACTAAAAACAGGCAGCAAGTGACCTTCTATTTGCGAGACCACATTCGATGAGAGTGGGCAGCTGACGCATAGCTTGTCAAAGCGCTTGGAGTGCTGGTCTGGATACTTTTAGAAACAGTTCAATCAGTCATGGTCGCCGGCTTCTCCATCGGCCAATGATCGCCCTACTCCTTGGGCCGTCACCCTGGATCCGCTCTCACGCGCAGAAATCGAACGTGAGACCAGACGGCTGAGATTGAACAAGGCCACCAGAACAGATGAACTTCCTCCAGTCCTCTTCAAATTCGGTGTCACTGCTCTTTTAGACGATTTACATAACTTCCTAGTGAACCTATGGGAGCAGGAGACTGTCCCAATAGCGACTGTCCCGATTTTCAAGGGAGGCTTCCATTCGGAATGCGGCAGTCACAGAGGAAGCAGTCTGATCTCAGTTGTCTCTAATTTACTTGCATCTGTCATCCTCCATAGACTAACTGACACCCGTGAAAGCCAGATGCGTGAGGAGCAGGCCGGATTTCTTCGCAATCGGGGCTGCATTGACCATATCTTCCCATTACGTCACTTCCTGGGGCACCGCCATGTTTATTGGCGACCCACCCTAGTCGTGTTCCTAGATATCAAAGGGGGTTCAATTCGATTGATCGATGTGCCCTTTCGGCCTGAGGAAAATGTGTGCTCGTGAAATAGGCGAATACCATAAGAGCGCTGTACTCGCACAGTTCGTGCAAAGTGAAAGCTTACCACAATCTTTCGCCACCCTCCAATATCTTCAACGGTGTGAAACAAGGTTGCCCACTGTCACCATTCTTCTTCATGACAGTGGCGTTCCCGGGGCACGACTTGGGTGTGTTGCTCCTCCCAGGTGACTAACTACTTGACTTGGAGTATGCCGATGACATTGCGCTCATCTGTGACACTTCACAAACGTGCCAAGCGGCATTGAATAAATTAGCTCTTGCTGTCAGTCGTTTCCGGCTATGCTTCCCACCTTCGAAATGCAAAGTCTCCGAGGTTGGAAGGGACCCACTCCTGCACTGGCCCTTGGTGGTGATCAGCTAGAAGTCATCCAGAGATTTAAGTATCTTGGCAGCTATTTTAGTGCCCATGGGATTGAAGGTGAGGTCACGAACTGTACAGCGAAACCTTGGGGTGCTTTCGCCAATCCCCGCCATCTGTGGCGCCGGTGTGACATCACTCGCTCTGAAGGGCAGAGTTTACAATGTAGCCGTCCGTTCAACCCTCTTATACGATTGTGAAACCTGGCCCATTAGGTCGACAGACATGAAGTGACGTTACATTCGATCATCGCTGCGTTCGAAGCATAGCTCATGTCTGATGGGAACACCGCGTGATCAATGTGCGTGTCCGGCGTCGCGTATTTGGTGCGTGGAGAGCGCTTGAACCGCTCAGCATCATTATATCACACACCAGGCTCCGACGGCTGGGCCACGTGTTGCGCATGCTAGCACACCTACTCCCGCGACGTGCCTTGTTTGTGCACCCCGGGTCTGGATGGGAGAAGAGGTGGGGATTCCAAGTGATGTCTTGAGCACGAGAAATGAAGTCCCTCATTTCGAATTTGGCCTCGGTTGGCGTTTCCCGACTGCCGGGCTGGGGTCCTAAGGACTATGAGCACGTTTGGTTGGATACACTAGCGGACATGGCGAATAGCCTACCTCATTGGCGTTTGTGTTGTGAGTCTCTTTGTCCCTCCTCTCCCCTTGAGCTTCCCCTCTAACAACCCAATGCATAATGTGATAGTATTTTGTTACCTTTTAGCTTTTGTGGTCTGTAGTGTTTAATCTCTTATCTTTTTTGTATTGCGGCACATTAGTTGGGCTGTGTTTCTCGCCCTCGGCTAACGTGTACTGATAATGATATGTTATCACAACGTGACAAGGGACCGAGCCGCTGAAAATGGTTAACTTGGAATTTGTCTTATTGTCAGCTAGTAAGAGTTCAGTGGTGTGCTCTGGACCGTTCACATTCAAACAGATAAATCTGGTGATTAAGAAAATGAGGAATCAGGTTACGTGCGTAATATATAGATATATATGTATATATTGGTTTTTATCCCCAATGTCTTGTTTTGTGATTTGTTATGCAACTTGCTACTTTTGACGCTCTTGGTATATGATAGTGACTGGCCCTGTTACATTGCGCACGATGATTTCTATCGGTGTTTTACGGCATAAATAGAACTTCACACAATCGACTATTTGCAGGAATTCATTAGAGTAACTCACCTCCAGCATTACTACTGGCTATAACTGTCGTCTCAGACGTTTCAAAACACAAACTCGTCGTCTGTTGCACTAAGTGAATAGTCCTGACCAGATTACGTCTTCACCGTCTTGTATGCTTGTTTCTGGGGAACAACACACCTGCTCTGCCGGCCCTTAGCCTTAAGGATGCCAAGTCTGCCTTGTAATCTGAGGGCGCGGGTTTGCGCCTGCTTAAGGACCAGGCGGCCCTCGCAGTATCCCTAACCCACGTATGACTGGTGGTTGTTGTGCGGCAGCGAAGCGTCGGTACTGTGTACCGGCGTACAGCTGACTCCTTTTTCTTGCCCCGCGAAACCGCAAAATGAAGTCTGCCATTGTTCGTGCCGTTTAACATTGTGTACAAGCGCTGAACGACGGGATTTACTTTACATGTTCATTATAGGAGGCAAACCAGATACGCCGTTATCACGAACTGCAAAGTCCGAGGGGTTTGTTAGCTAATATGAAGGAATGTGATCATTAACAGAGTACATTGAGAAGGATGTGCAGTGGGGATTGGCAGCAGTCTTTTGTGGACTGCTTACTCTGAGAGTAAAGTTTTGTTAGGTGATCTTTGCCTCTGGCCTTCGACCTAATTTTCTGATTCAAGATGGCTGGCAGCAGATCTCAAAGTCCAAGGAAAGCTTTTTTGTTTAGGTACTACATCCAGAGTAATCGTAGGCCTTTTTGTGGCCTGCACCTCATCAGCCAGAGTATTGACTGACGGATATTTTCTCTTACCTTCAGTGATACTCTTTAGCTTTCGCGCTTCACGCCAATTAGATTGGGTCTGTAACCTATCGTGCTGTTACTAAGCCTATAGTTTTAATGTCTATTGGTCTCTCCCCATTTTCCTGCCATAAATGTGGACTTTACTGGTGGGTTTTTGTGAGTAGTGTAATTTTCGTAGAAATTAGAAGCCACGATTAAACTATGCACAATAATCTGCCTCGACAGGGAATCGAACCCCGGACACACGGATTACCGGTTCGCTGCTCTACCACTAAGCTACCGAGGACTGACGATCAGGTGCGCATTTTCATACCTGACTTCTGCTTGGTGCGCGACGTATTGCCAATAAGCTCACAGTATCCGTCCTGGTGTTGCAGATTGGCTCACTCACTCGTCACTTCCCAGTGCACCGAAGTATCTGTCCTCCTGATATTCAAAGGGCGATGGTAAATTACTGGTGGTTTTTGTGAGTAGTGTGATTTTCATAAAAGGTAGAAGCCACGCTTAAACTTTGGACGTTGTGTTTATCTAAGCTCTGATAATCTGCATCTTGTATAAGACAGTGAGTGTCTTCAGGAATGGCAGCGGTAAGCAAACTACTGCAATTATTTGCGGTGTAGTCTGATCGCGATAGCACTGCGCTATTATTGACTTCCGTTGCCCGATCTACACTATCTAACCACGATCAGAAGTATCACAGCACCTTATTTTCGCCTTTTTCCTACCAACTTATGTATTCAAGCAGCACTCTACTAATCAAACGCTTCTATTTGCGCCTTTACTTTTTTACCCGACACTTGGTACACCAGATGCTGTGGCGCATTCTTTCGTTTATTTCACACTGTTCGACACGTGCTTCACTGTTTTTTTACTTCCTTTGTTGCAGACGGTCTTTGTCCTTGATGCATCGGCTGTATCATTCACTTCCTAAGAAATGTCATAATGTTGCCATGGTACGTCCTTTGGCGCCTAACCATCTTACTAGATATTGCATGGTTGTGGTGTCTACGATGGAAGCGAGATTATCGAGGCTACGAGGTACACTTGCTTCAGTCATCAGTTTGATTCACCATTCAGCATGCTCATTCACTTAAGCAGGCAAAATGTTAACGTGTCCATGTTTGCACCGAATATTAATCAGATGCACGTGATCAACCATCTGACGGGTGAGCCCATGCATGAGACCAGGTAATATACCTTCTCACTGCATGGATGTAATGGCAGAAATGTACTAATCGAATCTGCGCGAATTGCTCGAGGACAGGTTTCTCCTTTGGCTCAATTACAAGTGAGCAATTTCGACGCACTCTTTATTCCTGGTGGCTTCGGGGCCGCAAAGAATTTGTTTGTGATGTGGCGTACTATTCACTCTCCACGTTTGTAGATCAAATTTTGCAGAAAAGAGCGCAGACTGCACCATTTTACCCGAAGTGGCATCTGTCTTGAAACAGTTTCATGCATCTATGAAGCCCATTGGGTAAGTTACTTATATTTGTCGATCCTTGCATTGTCAGTCGGTATCGGAGAGGTAGCGAATAATAGCCGGTTTTACACTAACGACATGCTTACTGAACGGCGACTCCGAGTCGCCTTTTCAAGTAGCATACTCTTGCTGGGCTTTCCACGCTTTTGCGCGCTGCATCGGTTAACCGTCCACCTGGGTTCTGTTTTTGAGTCTCTAGTCCATATACAACAAGATACTAAGGACATCTAATTTGGTGTTTATTGAGCGTAAACAATGTTATTTAAAGCAGCTGCCAATTACCGGCCAAACGTCAAACTGGCTATATGATGTGTCACGTCAGCTTGGTCCGCTGTATGTGATTAGTTTACATGGACCAGGAGTAATTACCTAACTAGTAATTACAGCCACATAAAGAGCGATGAACTGCATTACACTTGCTCTAGAGCTAAATGACTTTCAGGTTATCGTGTATGATCACTACACTTTCAATCATTGGATAAAATTCCTTCAACTCACCTGTGCGCGATGCAGAAACCTGAGATCGTGAAGCAAAACAGGAAGATCTCACTAGTTACGTAACGTGGAGACGCGGTAGAATTCCTAGAATTTTGATTAAATCGGAACTTCACCGTGTTCATGTCAGCTGCTGTGCAGCACATGATTGTGTGTATACAAGGATTCCATCAGGACACGCGCACGATAGTAGTTCTCAACGTTTGTTCTGAGAACCCAACTGCAAGTCTCACAGGAATCGGTTACATTCCCTAAGGTGCACCATGTGTACGGAAACAAGCGCCTCCTCGATTCCAAGCTTCAAACTAGAGCATCAGAAAACTGGGTTTTTCTTATTTTCTATTACTACCTCATCTGGTATTGGTAGTAGTTGTTCACAAGATGGACATCCCAACATCAACGAAATCTTGATTTCAGTTAGCATTTTACTCATTTAAACCGGGGCGCTCTCCAGATTGTTACATAGTCCATCATTCTACTTATCAGCTCCTGCGGTCAACTTCCAGGCGTGTCTGCTGTGTCTATCTACAAGGCCAACGTGGCTTTACTACATCTCAACTACTGTTCGAGGAAGGAAAGACATCAGCCCCTGTTCTGTGGCGACAATTCTACACATCGAAGGCGCGGCTACTGCGCCTCGAAGACAAGCCGCCACTCATTCTCGGCCACCAATGCCCACTAAGTGTTGTCTACATTTACTGCGACAGGCGAGCCACTGATGACTATGTCCATAGTTTGATGTATGGGACTATAGCTGATTACTAAAACATCTATGCTGGTTGGGATGCATTAGGCACATTCCCGATAACACACCTCAGCTAATGTGCCGTAATACAAAAGACATCAAATATTATGGAATACAAAGCTAAAAAGTAATATAATACTAAATGCCATTTTACACATTGGATATGGTATCGTGCTTGGGAGAGGAAACTAAATGGGAGGGAATGACAAAGAAACTCAACGTCATTGACGTCGGCTTATCGCCATGTCAACTAGTATAAACAATCAGACGTGTTCATCATCCTTCGGACCCCAGCTCGGCAGTCTGGAGACACCATCGAACATCAACTTCGAAGTGAGAGACTTCATTCCTCTTGATCAAGCCATCGCTTTGCCTATCCTCTTCTTCTATCCACACCCCGGCCGCCAAACAACCCACGACGCGGAAGACAGTGTGCAGACATGCGCAGCACGTGGTCGAGCCATCGGAGCCTGGTGCATGATATAATGATGCTGAGAGATTCAGTCGCTCTTTCTGCACCAAATGCACGACGGCGAACATGCTCATTTTTCACGCGACGTTCCCACCAGACATGAGCTAACCTACGAAGTCAGCGATAATCGAACGTAGTTAGCCTGTTCATCTCGGTCGACCTGGTGTGCCAGATTTCGCAACCGTGCAGGAGCGTTGAACTGATGACTTCATTGTAAATGCGCTTCAGGGCGAGTGTGATATCGCGTTGGCGCCATAGGTGGCGGAAGTTGATAAAAGCGCCTCGTGCTTTTGCTATACGCTTCGTGACCTCATCTTCTATTCCACAGATTCTCCACTACCTTAAATGCCAGCGATTAAGTCAAGATTAGAAGCTACCATTCTCGAACGGACTCCTTTTCCTTAAGAGGTGGTCAGAGAGCGTCATCCACCCTCAGGAATCCGTCATCAGTGCTCGCTTACTTTCCGGCTTCCATCTCATGTTAATGCACAACCGGCCACCTTTGGCTTCATAAAACGAACAGACAGCAAAGCTAGACCATCTTTCAAACCTGTGGTGTTACTTAAAACGAGATTTTTCTGTGTCGGCACACTGTGTCACAGCGGCCAACAAGTCACGTCGACTGTGAACTCACTGGGAGATTTGCCTCTGTAACACGCACTATTGACACCGTTGCTCCTGCGCTCACTGGGTTCCGATCCCGATAACGGGTTTAGCACATTTCGCATCTCTGGTGCTCGGGGCATTACGGTGTTGAGTCTGCTTTTTGAACATGGACTGCTATGAATTGTCCTATACGTTTCCATCCGATTCTACTCCTAATTGAAGTCTGTCTTATCGACAGATGTTCTCACCGAATACAGCCAAGAGGATTTCAGAGACAAATTATTCGAACAGTGCCTTTTCCAGCTCATTTGACACAAGGCTCCAAGAGACGCGCTCGTGAGTTGAACAAGACATTCTGTCACGTGCATTCATTCCGATTCTCAGCAGTATCAAAACAAACCGGCTCGTTAGGTCTTTGGGGAACGGGACGCGTGAACCTATTACTGATTAGAATCGTTCCCAGTGTACCATGAAGAAGACATTCAAAGAGCTTTATTCACCGAACGTACGACGTCCGAGCCGTGGGTAGATTTTGCACATGGCGATTAGTTTGATTGCAGCATGTCAGTCGTCCCCTACGTTTTTGGACTATCCGTAACATCTGAAAGTCGGCTGATGACCGGAAAAATAAATTGGCTGCCTTATACTCCAAAGGTCACCCTCTCGAATCTGTGTAGATGCGGGCGACCTTGCAGTTTATCCAAGCCACGCGCGACTGGTAGTGGTCACATGGCAGCGAAACCTGGGCACGGGGTGCTAGCCTGCTGCTGATGCCCTTTTAACATTTAGATAATTGCGCTGTTCCCTCGTGCATCCAGACTAAACGGCGGAGTTCGGATCGATTACGCTCCTGTGTATCCTAATCTTGGTTCTTCGTCACACCGTGTTTTTTACAGATTAGCACGACTCTCCTAGTGGAATGAACGAACGTGGCACGGAATGGTACCCTCCACGGAAATTAGCTGACAGAATTTGATTTCGCACAACCTGACTCTACGCGCACAGTTGAAACGTTCTCCTAGACCGAGCACAGACTTCACATGCGACTCCGATCCTGAGAGATCAGAACAAAAGACAGACCCTTCGCCCCAGGTACTTTACTCGCCAAATCAAGCAATCACAGCGTAATCCAGCCTTGCTTATATACAACGACTGGTGAAATGAGATTTTAATTTAGAACGGCAAAGTCTAATTAAGCAAATTGACGCTCGAAGCATTAACGGAAAATGAATGTCGATAATTGAAAGTGAGCGAATTGGCAAAAGGTCAAAGGTCGATAACGGAACATGATCTGATTGAATGTCGATAATTGATGCGGCTTGGGTGGAAATGTTTCTCGCGTGCGTGGCTGACCGAAACCTTGTTCCGCCTGAGGTCTTGTGGGGACGTTCGGACCCATATCATAGTTCTTACGCACGAAGGACGGACTCAGTGACATTTTAACTTGATAGTAACCCAGATAGAGTGGGAGACAACTGACCTCCAGCAGAAGCGCTTTTACTGGCTCAACGAAATGTGTACACGCAGTTGTGCATTTTAGAACCTATAGAGCAATTAGTGCATCACGCAAGGCATGAGTTTGGCTGGGTGGAGGTGTACACTGAACCATGCTTCATTGTATTGTGGACACCGCTCGGAACACTCTAGTTAGATGTTACTCCTCGTGAGAAGTGGTACGTCAGCACCGCATGGGCCTGGTTTTTGGGGGAACCCATGAACGTTACCTCTTTTCGTCACTTTTAAATTGGTCACCTCGCCAACAGAATGCTTATTGCATTTTCTCGCTTGGAACACTTACCGGTTATGTAGTGTCATTGGCTTTGTTGATATTGCAGTTTTCCACCATTTTGAATGGATTATCTTTAGTTCGGTTCTTTGCTTACATATGTGCTTTGACAGGATGTGTTGTATCGCGCCGGTTCTTGCTGCGAAATGCTTGCCCGGAGTTGAGTTAACAATGGGGGGCGATTCTGAACAAGGTGGACTTTGGCCCTACGCAGGTGCTTCTCAGGCCGCAAGGCAGATGGGAGCCAAAGTAACACCCACGAACGTGGCCGTATCCTTTTATTGGCTGTTGCAACCAATTTACTGTAGTGTGCATCTGCGGCGTAACTAACTCGTGTGGTGTCACTCATGGTTCTCTGAAATTGCATGTACTTTCTAATGTACAAACAATTCCCTTTGTTTGTCACAGCACCTGAAAAGACGTAACTGTTATTCTCCACCTAATCGCTATAGTGTTATCGTCGTTACCGTAATAACCTTTGATCTCTTAAGTTGCGTATACTTCAGTCGAATCAATGTTGCCACTATCGTAGGGTATTCAACTGTCATCTCACTAACGCTGATTAATCTTCTAGTTTTGGTGGCTCAGAGCATCAGGATTCGATTTGCTGCTGCTTTGTCTTTTCCATTCGCTATTCCCTGCTTCTTTGTTCGTTTATAGATTCCATTTTTGTCGCTATCTTATAACACACCTGCTTGCAGTGTACTTTTTACAAGTAGGGATTCTTCTAGATTTCAACAGGTTCACTGACACTTCAGCGTTTCAATGTAGCGATAACTGAGGTGCCGCAGTCAAATCAGTCAAAAAGCGGAACTAACTTTTGCTTGTCACTCTCTCTGTATTGATGTGTGCTGTCTTTGAAATACGCACACAGGATACAGGGTTATGACGAATATGCTCACAATGACTACACAGTTCATATTTCTGGCGACACTGAGTCAATACCTGAAATTATTTATAGAAGACTGAAAGCGATCTACTCGAATGGGTATCACTAAACAGTTGTATGTGCTTGGTTGCTCTTCGAATCTGTGATGGAGTTAATAAGCAATGTCTGAGGACAAAGTACCTTTTCATAGCTTCCGTTTACGTCTCTACTGAATGCAGCTCAGAGGGTATCAAAGACGATTTCCGTCGCCAACTCTTATCTCCTCTTCCCACGGCGAAAAATACATACATTATGATTGTTGCTTGGATCAATAATGCCCAAGTAGGTTGCTTTTCTGACTCTGAACGACATCCTTAATTCGTTTTGGGGTCGATACACGCCGAACAGATAATGACGATAGACACCTATCGACTACAATTTTCATATTGTCACCACTGCTTTCCAGTAGAAACCTTCGCATCACTTGGCGCTTACGGAATTCCTCTATGTACTGAAACCAAATTGACCATATGACTCACATCGATCAGACTGTCGGTTAATTTGGATTACGTGCCTGTGTGCATGCCTGGTGCTCACTCTTCCGCCTCAAAGAAGTGCCTAACTTCCAAGCTTCTCATTTGTAATTTAAAATCTGACAATATCATGACGAAGTCGCTCATCAGGTCGGTGAAGCCGAACGCTGATTGGAGTTCTCTGAAGTGTGTCATGATGAATGCTGTAGGCCCAACTTGAGATGTTTTAACGTAGAATGGATCTCTGAAGCATCGGTCAGTTTGATCGAAGCACACAAACAGGTTCCGTTGGGTACAGAGTTGCAGCGTACGTGTAACACCCTGAAACAATGACCGACAAGATGTATTCGGATCTACAGAGAACGTTGGTGGGTGGCAAGGGTCAGTGAGATGGACGCCAGTGCTATTCGGAACAGCCAAGTATTGTCGCAGCTCATCCGAAGCACGGGTCCAAGAAAATTGTCAGTTTATGAGACAGTAGGTTAGAAAAGTTGGCAGTTGATCCGTTCTCAATTGTGTTGACTAGCCCCTTGAGCGGAACATTTTGAAGTGCATTTCACATGGCATGCTGAAACACTACCGCATGCTCCATCAACTGACTCGAGCTGGGAAGGTGATATCACACCTCTTACTTTAGAAGACATTTGGCTTGTACTTCCCGTATTAAAACGAAACAAACTTCTCCCCATTAGCATTCCATTAAGCATCGTATCAGTGAAAAATAGGCTAGCTTCTGTCTTGGTTGTGGTTGCATCGACCACATATTTACTCTTCACCAAGTGTTAAAACGGAGATACACTTACAAACGACCGACTATGGTAGTTTTCTTTGACGTGAAAGCCGCTGTCGTCTCTGTTGATCGTGTCTATCTTTAAGAGCATGCTAGGAAGCTCCTTTCTTTTCCCACTTCCGAAGTTGCCTAATAGTCTATGACCATCTGTCCCCAGTTACCCACGAAAAGTTGGGTTCACCACAAATATCCTATATCTCCTTTCCGCTTCATTTTTGCAATGGAAATAATCATGGATGACTCTGTTGTTCCAGACTATTCCGGAATGGAAGTTCTGCCAAATGAGCTGTTGATAAACCTTGAGCATGAGGGCGACAATTCTCAGGTTTGACGCAATGGTTATGCAAGCACTATAGAAAAGATTGATACGTAGCGTTGCGGGCTTCGGCATGTGCCTTGCACCTTCAAAGTGCAGAGTACTGTTGCAGGGCTAGACCGATACACCGCCAGTTCTAGCCATCAGCGAACAGCCACTGGTAGTGGTGCCTTTTCAGTGGCACACTTATCTAAGGGAACGCTGGTATGCCAGCCTGTCAGTGAAACGTAAGATGTATGGCATTACGATAATGCAGGTGTTACTGTATGGATTAGAGACCTGACAAGCTCACAGTGAAGAGATTAGACGATTAGCTATGTTTGATCACCGGTACATACGGAGTATTGCTCACTTCTGGTGGGAACACCTGGTGAGTAATTCTGAGGTTCGCTTGTTGCTTCTGACAAGAAACTCTGGTGCTTCAGTCGAAGGTTTGCTAAGGCTTAACTGCCTACGTTAGCCAGGTCATGTTCTCTGCATGTCCACTGACCACTTTCCTCGACGTGTATTAACTTCTGTCGCTGCACCAAATTGGGTGAAACCTTGATGTGGTCAGTCGATTACGTGTCATAAACGCATGAGAAAACTGACTGAGAGAATTGGTCAGTCTGGTGCATGCCGTATTCCTGGATGGGGGCATCGGAATGATTCACATCATCAGTTGGACTCCGTCGGTGATGGCGCAGCCGCGCGCGTTCCTGCATTCGGTTTTTGTGTGTCTAGCTCTCATTGTTGTTTACATCCTGAGTAGTTCACTGCACTTCTTTCTCGATTCTGTTTTCTTTGTATTCTGTCTGCGCCTAACCTCATCTTCTTACCGTTGTTATTTATAGTTCCTCTGATGACGTGAGTCGTGGTGACTGGGTTCACCGCACTTCGACGCCCGTATCATATTGGCACAACCGAACGGAACTGATTTAAGCCGAAATTTCCAACTAACGAAGTTTCTGAGAAGCCTGGATGTCCTGTTTTGTCGTTCATATTCTCAGTACCTAGAGTCCTAACTCTGCTGGTCTTAACGTGCAACTCATCATATCATGCGATACTAAGACTGTATTCGGTCGGATCACTAGAGCAATCATATAGGCATTTCTAACTAGTAACTAGGATGCGATAGGATAAAACCAATCGAGAATACCACAATCTAGAGTGCAATTGAGACTGTATCCAGTACTCATCGTCGCGAACCATACTAATAGCTTTCGTTGGGTCGATATGACAATTAGTAAGCATTACGACGTTGTTCGAGAGCAGCCGCTTAAGACTTTGGAAGAATAATTGATACGTGCGTCTGATCGCTAAATGGCAACAAGATCAGCGAGAGAATCGTACGTTTTATCTACTGACCACTCGGTGTGTAGTCCGTTTGATGAAGACCAGGGAAATTAACAGAATAAAAATATAACTAATAGGGGATAATACATACATACATCTCCTTTCCCTGTCATCAGGTAGCCGCCTATTGGGTCTCACCAAACTAGGTGCAGGTCGGTCTTCTTGCAAACATCCGAGTTATATTTTGGAGGCCATTGAAATTAAACTGGTATAACATGGATTTTCACAGAACATTCTTTAATCCATCATGGTTTCGCACCAATTCTGACACTACTCACTACAAGTCCGCCATTGTGCACGGTTCCTTGCATATCCGAGAGCGTTTCCAGCTATGTGTGTTCCGGATCCTTCACACTCCAGCCAGGGAGCCGCGAGCGCCCGACCACAGTTAACTTCGAGGTTAGCTTCTTCATGCTCGTGGCCCAAGTCATACGTCGGCCAGTTTGCTTTCGCTTCCAGCCGACTTCTGTGTGCGCGAATAGGGCACGGCGAGGTAAGCGATGAGTAGGCATTCGAAGAACGTGCCCAAGCCACTGAAGTCTGCGCAGAGAAATTATACTGCTCAGTGGCCGGCAAAGTCTGTCTGATCTGAAAATCCTTCGTCGAATATCTTCATTCCTAGTGTGATATTGCCCTCGTAGACAAGCAGTGTTTCGAAGGCAGAGGTGATTAAAAACAGACAGCGTCTCAAAATCCTTTGCGCGAATAGACCGTCCCGCAACCCTAGAGGAGAACCGCTCTCACAGTGGCAATGTAAACTCGGCCCTTCAGAGCTAGACTCCGATAACCTCGACGCCAGAGACGGCGGAGATTGGCAAAAGCAACTTGAGCCTTGAAGACGCGCAAAAATGACCTCATCCGTTAAGTCATTAGCGCTGAAGTATCTTCCGAGGTAAACGAACCTGTCCACCACTTCCAATGAATGACCTAAAAGGGTAAGGTCAGGAGCAGCACTTAGCCAGTCCTGCAGGAAAACCTTGCATTTTGATGGTGCGAAGGTCATTCCAGATTGGGAGACAGACATCTCCAACCTACACAGAACATTTTGCGCGGCCTGTGAGGAAGCGTAGATTACGGCGATGTCGCCTGCATACTCCAAATCCCAAAGTCAGTTTCCCGGAAGCAGCTCGACGCCGCTGGGTTCGCAGTTCTCCAGAGCACTCCAAGATTTTGTCTAAAGCGAAATTGAACAAGAAAGGGGATGCTGTGCAACCCTGTTTTACGCCACTAGTGATACCAAAGGGGGGCGAAAGTCCGCCGCACACCCGCACTCGTTCTGAGGTTTAAGAATAGATGGCTTGAAATAAGGTTACATACTTTTCAGGCACTCCCCTTCTTATTAGACAACACCAGAGAGCACCTCTATCGACTGAGTCAAACGCAGCTCGTATGTCTAAGAAGACAACGGTCGTTGGCTGGCCAAATGTTTGACGACACTCGAGTATTTGGCGGAGTACAACGATGTGATCGATACAACTCCGACCTGAGCGGAAGCAGGCTTGCTCTTCACGCGTGCTCTGTTCGCGTACCAGGCTGAGTCTCTTTAGAAGCAGAGCTGCGAGCACCTTGGAAGCAACACAGATGAGACTAATCCCTCTGTGCGTGGCGCAGTCAGTTCGGGTACCCCTTTTGAAGACGGGCACGATATTCGCTAGGCTCCAATCAGATAGGATAATTTCAGTGACCCAGATCTCTTGGAGAGAGGTTAACTCCTGAACAAGTGATGGGCCGCCATCTTTAAAAAGAGCCAGATGGAGTTCATCTGGGCCAAGGCTTTGTAGCACTTGAAGAGTCGAAGCTCGTGAGCACCCTCACCCACGGATAGTGGTGAAGCGTCTACACACCAGGGTGCATTCCAGATTCCAGGATGAGTACTCGTTGGTGCTGTTGGCCAATTAAACTGCTGCTCAAAATGCTCGGCCCAGCATGAGTCGGCGTTTTTGACAGTGGATTGCCTCGCCATTGGTTTCGCATAAAACCTCGCTTACAGTCGGCCTTTTGCCGCCAGTAGATCAGATCAGAAGGAAAAGCATACGGAAATTCCCCGAGGTGGCCGCTTGCCCCATCTTAATAACCCGCTGCGTCCACCAGGCCACGCGATCTTCCCGGAGAAGCTTTTGAGCTCAACGTTAGTAGTCCTGCGTAGTGAATGGTATTTAACGCTAGTAGGAATCGCTCGATGGGCTTCGAGAAGTTGGAGGGATCGTGGTTGGCAGTACTACTGGTGAAGCCACAGACCAGGGTTGCAGTTGTACATGGCGCTGCGAATGTGTGTCCAGTGTGTTTCAATGTCCGTGCGTGGGTCAGTCTTCAGCTGTAAGACAAAAGCGTCGTGCCATGCGTGGAGAACGTTTAACGCAGAAAACTTAGCTACGTCAAGTCGTTTCTGGCGACGCTACTGGCAGCCACCAAAATGGAGCGCAACCCTGGCACATACCAGCGCGTGATCCGAAGTGAGATAGGTACTCCAGATTGGTTTGCAATCCTGTATGCTACCCCGCCAGCGATAGCTGATGACGATGTGGTCAATTTGTGTCCACGGCTGGCCAGGTGTTGGGGGTCTCCAGGTGGCGCGTTGGCGCCAGGATCCCTGAAAGCTAGTGCTCGACAGAAATAGGCCGTAATTCGCGCAGAGCTGAAGTAGTTGATCACCGTTGTCAGTTCTGCAAGTGCAATGACCGTGTTGACCACCGAGTTCACGTTCGTCAACTTCAAGTCTACCGACTTGCGCATTCAAGTCCCCGGCAAACACCACGATGTCAGTACTGCGCTTTTTACAGGGAACGTCGGCCAGTTGATCATAGGACTCTTCTTTAACTGACTTCGGGCTGCAATCTGTGGGAGGGTACGGTGCGACAATGAATAGACAGCGTCTGCTGGCTTCGCTCCGAGACAGTCGCACTGAAGTTTCAAGTCGGACCGCGAACAATCGACAGCTAACAGGGATCCAGTCTAGTAGCACGGCCTCAGCACGTGTACTCAACGCAATCCCCACGCCAGCATAATCAGCGGCTTCGGCGGTTTAGTCTCCCAAGATGCGCAAAGTGGAAATGCCAGTAGAATTCGCAGACGGTGAAACTAATCGCAGCGTTCGTGCTAGGGTCCTGTAAACGGGTCTCGCTGAGACAGCAGACATCAATGGTCGTAGTTTCTAGAGTGCGAGAAAGGATTGCCTGTGATCCAATCTGCATCAGCGTTCGAGCATTGAAGGCTGCCAGCTTGAATTGGGAACGGGGCGCTAGAAATAACTTTTCAACACGACTTGGCGCATCTTCGGACCTAGGCTGCTGATGCGCATAGCGAGAACATTCGCCCAAGGCGACATGGTGTGGTGAACTAGAAAACGGAGGGGGAAAACCAAGGATGGGAGGTTGAACAAACGTGGAATAAAGTGACTAAACGGTGGTGCGGTAAAGCGAGGTTTGGCAGATTCAGCAGCCAGCACCTCAGCCGATGAGAGCAATTTGAGTGAAAGCAGATAGAGCGAGCAAGATTTGTTGAGACATGGATCCATAGGTTGTGAGGGCATAGTACTTCCCGGTTACCTAGGCCGAGGAAGAGGGTTGACCCCACCCGGAGCCTTGGGTCATAAAGACCTAACCCGCAAGGCAGCGGGGCGATTGATGTAAAACGCGACCGTTGGGAGCCGGCTCTCTAGACGAACGGCTTTCTAGTAGTCAAACTACTCAGGGCACCCAAAGAGCCCCAGTGAAGCAGCAAGGACTACCGAACTCGCCGCGAAGCACGAAGGCCGTTGACAGCTGGGTGGCTCATACTCCTTCATAGAAGCTGGTGGCCATCGAGGTTGTTCATCCGCCCTCCGTTAAGTACTCACTTATGTGATCAGAAGGGAGTGGTCAGTGACCCTATAGCCGGTCACATTGGCTTTGCCACAGCGTCTTGCGAGTTCTTGCGGTATTTAATAAGGAACCAGGTGACTAGAACCACGCTCTAAGACGCTGGCGCTGATTGTCCGCGACGCTTATTCATCTCGTCTGCGAACAGCCGAGACTTCACAAGGATGTCGTTCCCCGATCCGCGTCCGGTGGCGTACAGCTCCGTCGAATCGACCAGTAAACAATTCACTTCCGGGACAACTAACATCTATAAGATGTTAGTTGTGTCACGTGAACTCCGATAAAACTTATACGCCGCATTCGAGTAGCCGGTTTGGGATCGAATCTAGTATCCATTCCTCTGAGTTGTTGTCCAACCTGTGGGCACACTTCTCAGATTCATACGTCGAATGATTGGAACATCTCTGGCGTTCCCAGTAACACGTTTCTATTTCACCTCACGGGTCCCTTGCCGTTCACCAAGTGTCCTGTGACACTAAATGCTCGTCGGAATCATCTACGCCATATCGAGCAAACTTATGAAAACCCCATACATCTAGCCATTATTCATGCATCTCGATCATGATGTCCACACATATTCAGATCCCTTTTACACATCTCATTGGAGACCATTTTCACTCGCAATTGTCCACTTCGTTCGTCGGTGACAGTTGGCGTGGCAGTCTAGTTAGATAGTTCGACTTCACAGATTACGAACACAAACCATGAGCAACCACTTTCGAACTTGAACACTGGTGAATTCAGAAGACTACGGATTTGGGGGAACGCGCGAGGATGCCGTCAAATTGAAGCTGTGTTCCATATTCACCGATAATCCGTAGCTGATGGTGACGTGCTTAATTAATGTCTAAAGCCGCTGTCCTTTAGGGGGTCCGTGAACACTGATGCCGTAAAGCTGTCGAGGTTGTAGTCGCGCTCAGCTGAAGAAAGGAACCGCCATCGTTAGTACAATGGTTCTAAACCCATACGCATTATACCAAACGAAGTTCTTATCCCGATTCACGTCCCACACGGTTGTTCATTTCACCCGTGTTAATCACGAAATCCATTTCATTAGGAGAAAATGACCTCTCGTGCTTCAAATTTGGTCGTCTACGGCCTACTCTACGAGAACATGTGTCTAACACAATAAGAATTTATTTTCCGACCGCTGGTTGTTAACACATTTGGCCAAAACAGCCGACTACACTGAGAACAACGGCTCCGGCACCGTACATGCCAGGAGCTATGAATTTGGAACCGCTTGTGGCACGGAGTTTGTATCCTCGTGTTGGAACCAGACTGCACCACAGATGCATTGGGAGTCAGATGCCTCGCAGGTGTTTCGGTGGCGTGACACATCATCTGCAATAAAGTGTAGGGTGATGTCGGGTGTTGCTTTTTGACTGCCATGGCACTGTGCAGGCGTTAAAAGGTTGGCTGTCGAGCGTTACCCCAGGAGTAAAAAAGATTCGTTTTTTTGTTAGTATTGGTGGCACGTCGCTAGTGAACACGACAAGAACGGAAAATATCGCAAACCAAAACCGAGAAAAGAGCATTAAGGATAATGGTGTTTTAGGTGGTTGGTATTCTCTCGACGCTTTGCTGATGAGGATCTTTAATTGGTCTTTACAACACAAGTCTGAACCAATTAACCAGTGTTCCGATTGTATCTGATACGCTGACCGGAAACTCAATTGCGAAGTCGTTCAAGGTTTAATTTTGACCTTTGGCTCATACGAGCTTTATTATTACCGCTTTAGTCTCATTGCAAGTTGGTCTTCTGCAGTCGCATAAACCTTGTCTTGCCTCAATAAAGAAGCGATCAGTCCAGATGCCGAAGTGCGATATGAACCCAGTTGCCACGGCTCGCGTCGCAATGCTGCAAAAAGTGATGCAATACAAAGAAAAGAGGCTACGTACAATGCGTGTAAACTTAACCTTGAAGGAATATTAGCAGCTAGATGCAATAAATCGAATATAGGAGCACCAAGGGCTCCACGACTGCACCATAACAGAAATGGTCTCCAAATAGCCACAGCAGATGCCGAGGAAAGTCAGCAAGCATCCGGAGGATATGGGCTAGCCAGTGTAAACGGCTCAAATTTATTGGACACTAGTGTGGCAGCAGACGGTCCCCTTCCAAACAACAGCTGATGAATCTAAATGTTGCCTACCTAGTGCTCCCACCAGCTGGAGCAATACTCCGCAAGCACCGGTACTCAAAGACGACCAGTCACTACATTGCGAAGTTGTCATATTTTTGGTCCACACAGTAGCACCGCCCCTACCACGCCGTTTTTAATAATATTTACTGCGAAACGGTCGTAACCTCCTATCCATCATTTGCTTACGTTTTGATTCGCATACTGTGTCGAAGAATTTGCGCGCAAAATTTTGACGTGTTTCTTGATGTTTTTTCATAGTGCCTTATTTTTCGTGCTGTGATTGCCATACACCGGCTCCACTTTTGCTCTTTCCTCAACTGTATTCCACACCGTCGCAGGATATCCACATAGACGAAGATAACAAATTAGTCACCACTGCCGCATTCATGTGTGGCAAGGCCTCCATCTCGGACATATTTGACGGCATCGGCGAGCTAGTGAGCGCCGTCATTCGCATTTGACCTGCAATAAGAAAACTGCGCACCCATCGGCATGCTGTCTGCCTCACATCTGTCCGGTGTCATGTTTACAACGTGCAACATTGTCGACGAACCTCTCACTCTTCATACCATTCGCACTTTTAATCGCTGACAGATGCACTGGTTCTGTTCTACTTACTGAATACTAGTTAGAACTATTTTCGCTATTCTGCCACGTATTTTTTCCTATAAGTGGATGCTATTGCAAATCATTCACATCGTACATGCGATTGTTCAGTCAAGGTCGTTCCGTTGGATGTGTACTGTTGCCTCGTTTTCTGGAAAACAGTGCTTTCAATCTGGTTTTAGCAAAAGCATTCTCAACCAGCGGTCGATATATTGAGTAGAGAAGCACCAGGCAAGGTATAGGTTGATCAAGTGAAGAGTGCAACAGACTCAACGCCCAGTCCCAGCTCCTCTCTATTCTCAAACAGCGTCACCTTAGTGTGAATGGTCAGCGCGCGTCACTAAATGTGGTAAACATTCGGCCACTGAGACCAGCTCCATGACGCCTTTAGCGCTTTGCAGTGGATGGAACGGGTTGCGCGGTGGAACATTCTGCATCCTGAAGACGCGAAGCGCATACGGATCTTTTGCATTAACCACTACTCAATGCATGCTACTCTTAATTGGGGGCAGTATGGTTCTTCTGCAGAGGTGAAGATAGTGGCAACATGTTTGTAGCTGATCACACCCGGGGGCATTGCAAGTAAATGCAGAGTTCGTTTTGCATGATCCATTTTTCGTTATATGCGCCGGTCGAAGATAGCATCGCGGACCCGTTCCTTGGATGACCTAACGGCTCACTCGCGTGGTCTTGCAGTCAGCGCTGTTTCCTTGCCTCACGCACTCTGTCCGTTAACACAAGACAGGGTTTTCCCCCTGAGGTACTAGTGTAATATTTAGCCGCTCTTGACATAAGAGACGACCGGTTTAATCCTGGAACCAGTGTGGTTAGCCTGTCTGCTGTCGCCATGACAACAAACAGTAGCGGCAGAGAGAAAACTGCCGTAGCAGCAAGACCCAAGTTACATAAAACAAGGGACACACATCTCACCGACCAATAGAAAATACCTTACTTAAGCGCGACCGATCAGCGAAGGTGGTTCACTCACCATCACAAAACTAGGACGATATTCAAAATCAAAGCGGACATGCAAAGGGCGAGATGTTAGGCTGTCCCCCGAGGTAGCAGTTTGTCTGCATACATTTCGTTGCCAAACTAGACAATATCATCACAGTACTGCGGATGTCACGCAGCCTAATGATGAAACGTCTCCACACTCCGAACTAACAATGTTCTCAATAAGTGCACATACAGGTTACGTTAAAAAGACGAAAAGCGGTCCCATTTAGGAAATTGAATGTAGACACGACTAGGCACCTAGTTTTTCAATCAAATGCATATTTGGATGTTTGCATACATTGAGCCTCAGTTCGCGCGTTAATCAATTTTGGTACAGAGGAGCGTCGATGATTTGGGAATCCAGAAGCAACTCTCCACTGTGCGAGTGAACACTACAGCAGTTCCAGATGCGTGCTCCCCTACTACTCGGTTGTGAATGCGGAGTGTGCACCAGTCACAATTCACTGATCTCTCTGTAAACTGAAATGACAACCGTTTGGAATAGAGCGTCTGCGCGTCACTGGTCTGGCAGCGTCATTAGTGCATTACAGAGGCTGTTTCCTCTCGATAGGTTGCTCTTACTCCAATTCAGTCGACATACACTAACCGGTGACAAGACAGCCGTTATTCTAAGGTCTCTGCCGGTGATGGTCCGTTCCCGGGCCTCGGCTCGTTTCACACTCTTGTCGCAGACTTTTCTCACCTGCTCACTGTGTTTCACGTTTATGTTACAGACGTTGAGTTAATCGGGTCCGTACCGCCACGTGCGTACTCGTCAGAGAATCACGTGTATGCTATCCATGGTAGAAGGGTAAGATTTTAGCCATATCAGACCCAGACGGACACCGGAGGGGATCCAACTCGAACCTCCTCTGTGCTAGAGAGTAGAGCCGTTGGAACACGGCGCGTCACAGTGCGGCCCGCTCATAATTAGTGAAGAGCAAAGAACAGGACTGATAGCACAACGTGCGAACTCCGCACCAATTAACGGACCATAGTATGACGAATATAAAAAGTGGCATCAGCAGTACGACGGTGCTCAGTGCCGACGCTTCGCTGCTGTGCAACAACCATCGGTTGCATGTGGGCTGAGGATATTGCGAGGGTCGTCTGATCCCTACGCAGACTCGAACCCGCGCTTTCGGATTGCAAGGCAGACTTGTTATCCTTAAGGCTACGGGCCACAAATATGAGAATGTCTGCGCTTCAAATCTGGTCCTGACGGTCCAACCGATCGAGGCCTATTTCAAAACATATCGCGACTTAACCCGAGACTGTCACATTCCAAAGCACGGCATGTACTCCATATCAAAGGAATGTAGTCCAGGTACCGCTCAATACAATACAAATTTCGCCATCTCTACTACGTTGACGAAGATGATGTCATCAAATGTTAGCCACGAGTAGCGGTGCGCGAAATCGGATCACATGTCGGTGCTAGTACGCAACAGTAAATGTCCCATAGAACCTCTTGCAATGGAACGGCAAAACCCCACGACTGGCCTAGCACTGGTTCTGAGATGGTTACAAGCGTTTTTATTGCGAAGCCAAAAGGGAAAATCTGGTTGGTGATGCAAATCAGTTCCCCTAGCATGGAGGCCGTTGAAATAGCATTTATGGATCAAAAATAGTGTACAAGGTGTGTGACGTGCGTCGATGAAAGAAAGTCGTGTAAGTACAAAGCAGCTTGAGGGAAAAGGAGTGCAAAACTTTGGAAGGATATAAAAGCAGTATCAACCGTTGGAACAATGTCGTCATTGGGAGACAAGAGTCGAAGAAATAGACAACAGCGGAGTGGTTGACGTAACGGAGGCTGTACACAAATTGCGACTGTTTACTTGGAGGGCTCAGTTGCGACACTTGGCGGCTGAGAGGACGTACTGCCGCTGACAACTTCAATGGCTTCCAGGAGCACCTCGGTAGGGTCCTTTGGACCGAAATCAACTGGAATGGTAAGGAAGTAGATAATAGCAATGACCGGAGTTATAATATGAATGGTGGGCCTGTACAAACACCGATAAAATGGGTCGATGAAGGTAATTCTTAGGAACGATAGGAATATTTTACGACAAAACTATAAGGCGCATTGACATCCGACAAATTCACCGACTAAGAAGATTATGAAAGAAACCATCCCTTCAGCTGAGACAACTCATCGCAGACTGGGCTTTGACGCGATGCAGTGGTTTGCTTGCCCACGCAATCCATTATTTAGTGCTGAATGACATCTTGCAAGCGGTTTTGGAGCTAATTACACTGAACATGTCGAACAAAACAAAATGGCGTTGAACCTGCGCTCTACACGATTGCCACAGTGAGGGGAAAGCACCACACTAACTCAGCGGTTTATTCCTGACTGTCTTCAACCAGACAGCTTCTGGTCAGTAACATGGGAACTCCTCAAAACTCACCTACGATTGACTGCGGTTGCGTGTTTCAACTCTCATGGTAAAAAAACGAATATGAACCGTTCCAGTGCTGCACGTGATCGGCCTCAAGCAAATCCACACAAGATTCCGTGATCACGCTCTTGAGCTGTTCCAATCGTCTTGTGAGTCAGCATCTTGGACTAAAGACTAGAAGTGGGATTCCTAGAGAAATTCCTTCCTAAGAATGGTAATTTTTCTCCTTCTTACTTATCTTTTCTCGTTTACACGCAACAAGACCACTTTTAACTTTGTGGTTTTTTCTAACGGCGCACCTAACAAACCTTGGAAACTAAGTGTCACGTCTCTAGCAGGTCGGTCACATCCGCTTATCACTCAGCACTATCTAGCATTAGACCCGTGATAGATCCATCTCCGAGATGCCTTAATAATGATGACTGTATTATTCGTGTCTGGTGATCTTGGGCCGATCAAAAATAGAGAGCGAGCGTGTATAAATTTGTGAAATAACATCGGGGACCCGTGCTGGGTAAAGTCACTGATTTTCACATATTTGGCTTGTGCAACCTGAATAGGACATTCAAGTGCGATGCGTCCTCGAAATCTGTAATACACGAAGTGGGTGTCTAGGATTTTCGTAAATTCCGACACCGATTTCGTTTCGATTACTGCCTTGGGCAAAGCGTTCCGATACTTGACCACTAGATTCTGAAGTAGATCCCAAGTGGGTCCGAATTCCATATTCTATCACGTTCGATGGGTACTGTGCTAACACGTGGCGGTGTCCATTGCCGCCGACTACAGACCTGGGCTATCAAAGAGGAATTCTGTCAATAATATCCTTATAGTTAGGAGTGAGGATAATGAGATAGGCCGAACAGCGTGTGGGTGCTCATTTTCGGTTCGATCATCGGTTTCCCTGATTGTGTTTAAACCGCAATCTTTACCTCAAGAGCACAGGTTTCTAACAAAGACATTCGCGTAGTGTCACTAGGCACTCGCCGAAGGAAACGATGTTGTATGCGAAGCTAACACATATGCTAACTCTCGCTCGTCACCCAAACCCACCCGCAATATAAAACTAAGCTGGATTGTCGGCCCCAATTAACGAGCAGAATGAGTGGGCAGAATGGCGAATGGGATCATCAATGTGTTCCGAAAAAGTTAATTAAAACCACACGTCTGCTTGACCCGAGGCATCCACATCGTGAGTAAACATCTGATGGATCGATTGGCTTGATTGAAGCTCGTAAGATGATGCCAACAGGTAATCGATTGCAATGTCCGTGGCACTGCATCATTAAGAGCAACCGAGTAATGTCCCAACACATCCGGGACACAGGCTCAAGAATGTCCGCAATAAGGGAAACAATTGCTGAGCATCTATTCTCAGATTTACTAATCTAAACAATAGGCTGGACAATTTGTAGACCAGCCTTTCCGGTCGACATTGCTGCCATCATTTCCGGAACCACTGGTGCGCGACAAGAATATCTTAGGTCTCCGTTACTATCTAACACCGCGACCATGAATTTCATGTTGGGAGATTTAGATGACTGAATTTCTGAATCGAGCTCCTTCCAGGTTGTCACGCAACTGACTTAGATTATGCTGACCATATCGCTTTACTTGTTGACGACTCTCATAGCAAGTGAGTAGTGATTAAAGCATCTAATTGTAGTATGTTTTCCATCTACAAGTGCAAGTACAGAACTGGAAGACTTCACGTCAACTCACCATCGAAAGCACACCGCTTGAGTAGTTGGACAGTTTTCTCTACCTAGGGAGCTGCGTTTCTACCGAAAGCACTATTGGAGGGGAAGTACCGCTTTGTAGCGATAAAACTGCTAGCTTGAAACAATTGTGTCGTCGCGATATTTTGCAGGTTTTACAGTGCCCGTGTCTGTGACAGCCAGTGTACGTTAAATGCGTAGGCTTTCTATAGCCGATAATGCTTGTTTGCAAAGTGCTGTATCTCAGTAAACACGACCTATTGGATCATGTCGCACTAGGGCGTACACCGACGAAGGAAAAAGCAAATTGAACAGGACAGGCGTAAGACTGTATTCGCCTGTGTGGTGGCAACACTGTGTGCAATGATGACATCAGACACTGCTTCTTAGGAAAGGAGGATTTTCCTCTTTACGAGCCTGCTCGACTGCGCTAACAGATGGCTCGGTAACATCCCGCGCATGCCTAGTGAACGTTTACCACGCCCCACCAATCACTAGCATATCGCCTAGCCATCGCTGGCTCGGAGAGTCTTTTCGGTTGGGGAGCCAACGAGGAAGAATACCAGTAGCCTGCAATGCTCGACGGATTGCCGTAGAACCGGGTTTTCAGTGGAAACATTGTGACGCAGTTGCCTGGCGTTTTTTGTTTTTCTTCATGATTGGTACTTCGGTATAGGTGTTGCACATACTACTACTCCGGAGTCCCATATCCATGGTTTTGAATGCCTCACTGTCTATTCCCTGGAGTTACACATATCACTTCTCACACCTGAAAAAATTCGGCATATGCTGGCGGAATGAAGTGACTGGACCAGATGATCTATCCCTTGTTGTTGGAAGACAGTAGCAACCCACTGAATTTGGGCTCCACCGCTCCATTCAACACGTTACACCGCACTGTGTTCCCAGATTAGGATCGGTTCACCACCGCCTTAATCTTCAAATGTTGGAAGGATGCTATGTGAAAATCGGAACAATATCCATACTGCGAATACCCCCTTGGGTAACTTACTGACAAAGTGAAAGCTAAGTCTGATTTCGCAAGATATCGAATAAAGACACTGCAACCGACCAGTGTCACTATGCTGATCACAGCCACTACGTATTGAAAAAAGTGAAACAATGTTATATCATCCGTCGATATCTGTGTTTGTCGGCCGGTGGCCAAGTGGTCTGCACGCCTGGCTTGCAATCATAAGGTCACCGGTTCGAATCCGCGTAGGGGTGGGCGTCCTCGCGGTATACTCAACCCACGCGCGACTGGTGATGGTCGCGTGGCAGGGAAACGCCGTTGTGGCGTACACCTGACATATCTTTGGGAAGCATAGCTCGTATTTGGTCGGATCACCGAATGAGCAATGCCATGTGCCTGTCAGTGTTTGGATAATATGCCGGTAGAGAAATCCTGGATAGCCTATTGAACTTCAAGTGTTCATTTTGGTTAGGTCGGGATTTTTGAATCACTACCTCCGGCCGCCTATTGTTTACCAATACTGCGCCTGGTTGAGTGACCATTCCACGACATGGTGAAAATAAACGGCGGAAGTTGACGAAAACTCGTGTGGGACCGACACACGGGATCGGCCATACTAGTGTGGTTAAGGTTATCTCAGATACCGTAATCATGAAGCTAGTAGTGTGGTTACACTGCGTCTGGCGCCTTTGTGTGTTGACCACTCCATTCCTTCTCTCTCGTGAAGTTCCATCTCCATTTGATTTCTCACTTGTCGTTTGGTAATTTTGTTAAGACATGCAAGTGTTGTTCATGACACCCAGATTCATCAACTGAACTGAGTCGAAACAAAGGCGTTCGAATACAGCGAAGTGGATTTCCAAGTTGGGTGAAAGATGGGTTCTCTCCAAAATAGCTATGGAAACAAACCGCGCCCACAGGCTCTGTGAAAGTTGTTTGTTGCTGCGACACAACCGTATTTGGTGCGGTGCCCTAGTTGGCAAATGATAATTTTCAGCGGACTAAAATTCCAAAAACTGCTATGAGCGCGAATCGGTCTGTGGGGTGCCGTAGGAGTAGCCAGTTGGAATGGACATAGTCGACTACAATCGGATGCGAATGGAACAAGCACTACCAATCAGGCAGTCGTCCGTCTATGTAGCTCCACTGGTTGACAACCATTAGCCATGCACTAACAAGTCTCCAGACTTTTAATGAGTTTAACCAAAAGGACCACTTGCCCTAACGCACAACAACGAAATCGTTGTTTGTGGATGCAGTCCAATAACATGTTTGGACACTGTGAACTACAAGACGGAACCTTAACATAGTGCGATGGTTTGCTTACTTTCGTAACCTATTGAGTGGCTGCTACATTCCAGTGCCTTCAAAGTTACTCAAACCAATTGGTTGTGGGTCAAACCGACCCGGTCTTATCATCCACTTCTGAGGTTAGGGAAAGGTCCACGACCCTCTTCCCTTAAAACAGGTTCATGAATTGACTGTATAAATGAAAACTGGTAGCTTACGTTATTCGAATGGCGGTTGAACTTGATAATTTTGTTACAAACGTTTCACCTTAATCGAGGTGACATTATCAGTGCATTGTTGCATAGCGTGTAGTAGCGTAGCGTAGGAAGGCCGAGGGCCTGAAATACTGCATGAATAAGAGATTTGTCCAATTCACAGTGCGGACATTAAACACTTGGCCATGTTTGATCACTGATACTTGCGGAGCACCGCTCACATCTGGAGAACGATGCCATTCGGTTTTTGGCAGGAAGCCTTCTGGTGCCTCACGAGTGTTTGATGAAGTTCAACCGCCTAAGGTGGCTAGGTCATACCGTCCGTATGCCTAGTGACTACTTTCATAGACGTGCATTATTCACTGCACCGAGTTGCGCGAAATCGCAAGGTGACCAGGCGATGTAGTGGCACAAAAGCATGGACCGGGAGACTTGATCAGGCTGGTGCATGCTATGTTCGTGGACAGGCCGTGGGATGGTCCGCATCAGTGGCTAGACATGGTGCGGTCTGTAGCGTTCCTGCATCCGGTTTGTTGCATCTAGCTGTTACTATTCATCCCATCCCGATTGGTTTCACGTACTCCTTTCCTAACTCCATTTTCCTTGTATTCTGTTTGCGTTCTATCTTGTTTTCTCACTACTGTTAATCAACGTTCTGGCGTCGAGGGTCGTAACAACGACGTCCATCGCAAGTCGATGCTGGGATCACAGTTGCTTAACTGAGCGATGTAGTCGCTGTTTCAACCGTTCACCTTGGCTGAAGGGAGCAAAACAACGTACATGCGACTTCGGAGTTACCGACTAGCTGGCAAACGAGCCACTATCCTCCTCTAAAAATAGGGTCATTCGGGTGCGCTATCTGACGACGAGTAATTTAGAAATGTAGTAGTGTAAATGGGGACACTATTAAAAAATTTCAAAACCGTGACATTGGTCTCAAATCAATGCATGTGCATCGCTCAATGTTACCTGCAGTGGCCCGTAAGGGGTTGGGAGTGAGAGGCGGCGTAGTCGATCTCAGAATATCTGCAGAGGGAGCTGAACCATTACTTGTTGAAACCGGTTGATCCGGAACGACGGCGTCCGGTTCTCCTGTGCCGGAACTTGAAGAATAATCCAACCACGGGTCCCCATCGTACGGGTTAGCAGGGTGTCCAAGGTCTCCGCTAAGATCATCGGGAGTGGATCTAGATGATGAGTCGAACCCAACGGGTCTGCCGACATAACTCCAACCAATAGGACGTTGCGGGAAATTCCCTCCTAGATAAGATCGATGCTGAGGAAACTCTCGTACCCGCATTTCGCTCTGTTCGTGCGAAGATTTTGTTGGATCGAGAGACCGGTGAGCAGTGCGAGAACCTGGGCGCTGTGTGTGCTTTATGCTCAATGAAGTTCGAGATGAGGTAGGGCAATTAGGGCATATGTACACCTTCGGAATCTGCAAGGTAAAAATATGGCGGCGTTGAGAGTGACACACAACCACTCAAATATACGAAATGAACGACACGAAATGAGCAGATAGATGACAGGTTCCGGCGGTATGTATGGGCTGAAACAAACTGAATCTTATTTATCTTATTCAGGTTACGCAAATGAGCGATATGGGTTACGCCATTCATACTGTTACGAGATAAGCGATCCGATGGCGTGCGTCCGTTAGGCCAACCACATTGAGGTTAAAAGGCGAATCACATGAAAATAAGTGCTTTCAGACTGATTTCGTCGTGTGCTCTGTCAATTATTACTAATTACTGACAACCTAAGATGGCGGCGTGATATTTTCAGTGAGTTTGACTTGAATCGCTAAAATAAAGTCTTTGCTGTCATAATGTGAAACGACTTTTTACCTACTCTAGTGGGCATCTTGATGAAGGCCCCGTCTCCGTTGGTCAATACACGAGAGGCTATGCGAATGATTTTACGCTCGCAGGTAATGCAGTGCGAGCAATAGTCTGTTGTCCAGCCTAAGTTGGCAGCGCAACAGGCTAACGAACAATAGGGTAATATGATGAAGTACACATCCCGATTTGTGTGGATCGCCATCCAAACAACGCTCCTTAGAGTGATGTGGGTCTATTGAACAGACAACGTGGGTCTTAGGTGGTTCGATGGTTGATAACGATAGTACACGTACACGGTGACTAGAAGGTATTGTAGAGATGATCACCGAGAGAAACTCCCGTAGTGTGACGACGTCGGAAAAATAACGTTAATGCCTACCTGGTTTTTGTGCCGTATTCCAACGCAAACTTGATGGTACCACAAGTTACATCTATCACACGCAATCCATTCCACTGTGCCTGTCCGCGGATCCTGACAAGGTTCAGCGTGACATTCGTCTTTCCGTATCGCCCGGCCCCCTTGGGCACTTGATTTCCGTTTCGTGGATTTGGCGCCTTGTCCGGACTGGGACACCCTGCTGCTTGTGGCGGCCTTTCCTCGACGCCGTGGCGCGTGCAAACCGGGAACGTTTCGAAAACTGGGCTGTGGATGTGTAAAGAGAAAGAGAATGAGGTAAGCGAAGAATATCCACCTACACAGTACCGACTGTGTAATATTATCCACTTGCTCGATACCTGTCGTTTGGTAAAAAGAACAGGCTGTTGTCCCCAAGCAACCTCGTTTGGTTCAAACTCAAGGAATGGAAGAAGACATACTCTCGTACAAAGGTTTACTAGCTACAGTACAATATGTGGGAACGTACGTGAGGTATATACGACTAAAACAGCTTTCTAAGATTCAAGGTCCCGCCACAAATCAATCGGCAGTGGAATGGTTATGCTTTAGATTGGTTTTCGATCGAGGAACTTCAAAACAGAATGGTTACTTTATAGATACTGGAAAACTCAGCAACCCATATGTTGGAAATGGTTTCTTCTCATAACTCCCCTTTTGAAAACACATCTGAAGTTGTGCTTCCAATACCACACGGCGATCTGCCGACCTTCTGGACCGATAGGAATCACTAGTGTAGCACAACTCAGCTTACAGAATCACCTCGGAAGCTGGGGAATGGAAATCTATCCGAAGATAGATCGTCATAATGGTTGTTTATACCGACCGATTGATGTGAAGTGCCCATTTTTTGCTACCGACCAGGGGTTTGGAGCAAACACGTCCGCATCTCATTGTGATGGATTCATGCGCTTGGGCTAGCATATAACGTCAAATACTGAAGCTCCGTGGTATTCAGCCATAGTTTTGTTTTGGTCTTAAGACTTGGCTTCGTACCGCAGCACCTGACCACCTTTAAACGATTATAGACCTCCTTATTGGACAAGTTCCCTTTTGAAATCACTCGGGTCGCTTGTTCAATTGTTGTGGTGTCCGCTCAGATGAACTTAACTGTAAACATTTCGTTAACATTCGAAGTGACATCATCGGTTAAGGACAGATAGCAGTTCCATAGTAGAAGCTGGTGGAAGATAAATCCGAGCCTGGATCAGCCGGACTCTACTGGTTCCCACAAGTGTTACTCTTATACATGCATGAGCCACTGATTTAATTCTAAGTGTTCGCTGGAAGCAGTGACATCTGGAACAGTGTTTCGATCTAGGGTCGCGCGGTGTTTGGTGGAAATTCACAGTGATAAGCTCTCGGATCCCGTAGTGGCACAGCCGGGCTGAGCTTCCTGAAAGGCCTAACTGCGTCGGAATCCCTGAAGGTGGTAGAACAGCACTGATCATCCAATGTGAATCCGGTTACTGTACTCGTGAGTCAGTGGTTCATTGCAGAGAGAGTGAAGCGTTTTTCCCCTCCACTGTCGCCAAACATGGAATCATGCTGGGTTGGCGAAACGTTAGATTTCGGATGACGGTTTTCACGCTGCAATTCAAATCGTCAATTATTGGTGATGGGAGTTGGTGGGCATACATCCGACGAACGGGTCTCTTTCAGTCTTGCTGAACGAACTCATGTGAACCTCGGTATCCTCGGGCAGTATGAAACCGTAAACAGATCAAAATCAACAAGCAACGTTCCGTTGTTCCTTATAGTTTAGAACGGCATGACTGACATAAGGGAACGAAACTGTAGAAAACTTTCTGCGGGTGCAGACCAAAGATACATACTCAAAATATCACATAATAATGGTCAAACCTCGAAGCAAAGAATATGTAAACCTTTTCGGTGAAGCAAATTGAGAACGTTCCTGATTTTCGGTCCCGAATGGTCGAATAAGCAATCAGCATTTCCTTACATTGTCAGCATTGGGTAGAAAAACATTGGTACCCTCTGAATCGGGATATGGATGTCGAATTGTCCACAGGTTCATACAGGGATTCTCGTGTTTTGTCCAGAACAATGGCCATTATGAGAATCGTTAATTTTACCATTTTGCTTGGTGCAAACTAAGAGGTATCTGGCCCATCTCAAAACGTTTCTGTCTATATGAAAAATCTCAAGTCGATTCTTGTGTTGTGGTCGCCAAGGCTCCTTGTGTATTAGTCAAAAATTATTATAAGGAGCTAAGCACCATGTGCCAGAAAGCATCGAATTTTTATATGCCTCAAATAACTACATAGGGTTCGGAGCCCCACCGCCAATAAACTAACATCGGACGATTAGTAATCAAGGAAATCAATCGACTCGGACGATAGAAAAATAATCATTCGATATGCGAAGAGAGATTCCCCGTTAATGAGATCGGCGTCGCTTCCAACCAGATACGCACAGAGTATTAGACACATAAGTGAAGATTGGGACAGTAACTTACATCTGCTCTAAGGAGCATTCTCGCCTAAATCGTTGATAATTCCTTCTACATAAATGAAGCGTACTTGTGATTGCAAATGTGGACAAGCGACCTTGTTCTTTCAAAATCGTCTTCCACATGTGCGAAATTAATCAAGGTGCAGCTGAGAGGTTTCTTCATGGTATTCGAGATAAGATTGTTAGGAACTGGTGCAGAGTCATACATGAAGAAAACGTCACCACCTCCATCATACTCATCAACAACAGCGCGTCAGTGCTTTATGCACATGCTTCGCTGATATGCAACCATGATTACCTTACAAATAAGAGACAACAAGCAAAAAGGAACTTTAATGCCTTAAACAAACGATCGAAATTAAACTACCTACATACGGTGGGCTCCACACGATGATAAACGTAGTTTATTGTGTAAGACAGCATCAGTCCTACTTCACAGGTAACCCAGTACCCGATACGCGGGCATTTCAACTAGGAAACCGAAGCAAGCGCACTATGTGCCAGCTACGAGCCATCCTGAGTGAAGCACAATATGGTCGCTCGGACCAGCCAGCTAGTCTGTCAATGACTTTGTTTCCTATTACTCTCATGCCTTGCGCCCGCTCATCGGTGGGTGGGTACACGTAAGGTTTTACCAAACCGACGTAACTTGATGAAAACTATCGCCTTAAGGAACGAACCTGATCAACATTGCCCACTGACAGTTCGTGCTGTGTCGCTGTGGACATACCGGTGTCATCGGATACCGACAGTACTTTGCAGTCGTCAGTGATCAAGGGAATTGAGGATGCCTCAAACTGAGAAGAATACCTTGGTAGCTCAGAGAATGTGCAAATTCACTAACCCTCCGCCACACAACGTCCCATAGATAGTGTCATCTCGATTGGTGACGAAACGTATGCAACAAAATTGTCAAGCTCAGCGAACAAATCGACAACAAACTGATAGAAATATGTGGTGAAGGAAAACGGATCTCAATGTTTGCTTGTTTGTACCACGCCTAGAAGTAAGAGCAAACTCGCTTAGTTTCGTGAAAGTGGTTTCCATGTTTTGTAGTACGTGAACCAATTTCAGCAAACACATGCCCGTCAATGTTCATGCATTTGCTAAGGTAAACACGCCAAAAAGACATGCGCAGTTACCTAGCAATCGATCACACTGCAATAACAACACGAAATCTCAAAATTCATGGAGTACGCAGAAAATGGGACATGTGTGGTGGTTATTACTGGGAGTTGATTGTGCAGTATAATGAATGTTCGACAGCACGTTCATCTCATCCGTGCTATCCAGATTATTCACGAAAGACCTCGTACATCGCAGTCCTCTAGGCTGTTGTGTTGGCCGGCTGTCACATCCTTTAAGCCTCATGACTAGTCCTCATTTTCTACTTACGAATGACTTCAACTGTCCCAGAATACGTTGGCTTGTAGTACAACTGGGGCGGCACAACACATACGACACAGTGTAGGATTATTGGAAAGTGATAATAAAGAGGGTAAACTCGTTGTATTCTCAGTGTGTACCTCTGAAGTGACGGAATTGGACCAACCAGGCCATTTTGCTTCGAAAAGGAGTATAGTACACTGGCTCGACGACGGCGCAGAATGTGGGACAAATTTCTCCTATCAGTCTCTTTCAACGACTAGAGGCGTATAAGAGACAGCAGTACTTGCAACAATGTGAAGAATAGCAAGGCATTTCGAAGAGCGACCACGAGAGAATATTGGCTTACATCAAGCAGCGCCACATGCCTGCAGGTGGCGTACCAGTGTTCGAGAGTTCAGACAGCCATTAATCTTCAGCACTAAGCGTGTTCCCGCAGTGGCGGCACACTTCGCTTCCCTGTTCGTACATGCTCAAGCGATTGGACCGGATCTTTTGACGTTTCCAGATCCAACCGAACTTGACAGTTTGGATTGCGGTGAAAAAAGGTGAGACAACCAATGAAATCAAGTCTCTCGGGCTTGGCCAGTCACACCCGAAGACTCTCAGGTAGTAATCGGCTATCATTCGACATTACGTGACTGATCTACACAGGGCGCATTGCAGAAAGGCTAAAAACGCTCGCCCATAAAGCGGATTCGGAGAAAAGTGGAAAAATATACCTGTATCCAGGCATGTTAGCGCATTGTACCCAGCTTGTAGCTTGGCACATTTTAAAAATCGCGTGCTGTGCATTCAAGTTCGCGAGGCTAAGAATGCTGTTTTGGCGTTGTTGACACTCATTGGTCCGGTGGGAAGCCCTGAGCATAAGCGACAGACAGTCCAATGAAATTGGTCGAGCGCCATCTGTGCTGCTCTGATGCGAGTCTGAAGGAAACCCCGATGATTTCTCTCCAAACTGAAACCGTCCAATGGGCAACTTATGGTGCCTGTCTAAGGAGGAGGTCCTAGTTACCACATGATCCGAAGCTTACGCCGTAACCAGTGCGGACGGACATGCAAATCACCACATGAAGCGGTCTGTACTCGCTAATCGGTAGCCGCTACCTGATGGTGGCTTATTTCAACGAGCTAACCAGGGTTACGATGGTGGCGTAGACATGCATTCTTTTAAAGTATTCCGCAGTCCCTTAGGTCTGAGGGAGTCAGGCAGGCCTGTATTTGCGGTTGGCTAGGCATGTGCAGTGGCTAGGAAACTGCACACCCTTAGCTGAACCAGCAATGGCTGCTAGGCGGTTGGACAATTTTGTGCAATTGTTATTGCGACGATATTGTTCCAATTGAAGTAGGTTGACCAACCTGAAGTTTAACAACGAATGTTCTGTGGGTGCTTACTTCTATCACAGTTGCTGACTAAACACAAACATTGTTTAAACTAGGGGGATTCCAAGTGTGGCGGTGACACGATATCAGTGAGTGTTCGTTTGTCTCCACACCCATGGGCGACTTCGTTAATCAGTTACCGCCTCAGTGCCAACTGGTATGGCGTTATTAAAAGATCATAGGAAGGACGCGGAACCTACTTATTCATAGGATAATTAGGCTTTACTTCTATATGGTCGCCCATAGGTGTGGAGACGCTTTGACAAGTGGCTCTCCAAATGGCACCATTACAAGCATAGTCAATGCAGATGGAACCTCCCTATTACTTCCATGGACTGGAATGCTATCCTCATGGAATCGGCATCACTCAACAAAGAAACATGTAAAGGGGCTACAAAGACTACCGTGTTTATAAATGTCACATCGTCCTGCAAGGAAAAACGCAAAGGCCGACACTTAGTGGCGGCGCAGGCATTTTACTGGTAATTCAGCAACAGCCAAACACTATTGTCTCACCCACGGGCGTTCCTACAGCATGTTTGCAATCATTTAGAAAGGCAACCGCGCCCACTAATCTTGTTATGGACAACTGTTTCTGCAAGTCTTAGAAGCAGTCATCGGTGCACGCCGTGAAACACGTTGTTATCAACTTGGCAAATACTCGAGGACATTTTGTTATTGGAAAGCAGGCAATTCCGGAAGCATTGTTGAGGGAGGAAAATTGTTCCGAACATTATGCTTACAATGAGTATACAGTGCTTGTTGGCGGGTCATATCAGGGCCGTAGGGTCATCTGGTAATTCAAGCTTATCAATCACATGGAAGTGAAACGTTAATATCGTGTCGAAACGCAGGATTGACATGCATCTTACGGCCTTTAAATAACGACTGATCCATGGGCACTGAAGCAGTAATTGACTACCGAAGTGGCCCATAGGTGTGGAGACGAACGAACAGTCACTGATGTCGTGTCACCGCCACACTAAGAATCCTCCTAGTTGGAACAATGGCCACAGATCCAATGATGCTCTTACTTAACCAGCGAACTTGCCCTTAGTATACCATGCGCCGACTACATCAGCAGTACGTAGCTACACTATTCACATGAGTGTATGGCCCACTGAAACAACATAGCATGGGAACTTTGTAGCTGTAAATGCGAACAATTCCTAGCTTTACCTCCTTCATACGAAGTACTGTATTGTTTCTGGTTACCTCACACTGCCTTCACAATCACATGCATTTCCTAAACGACATCGCACACGTATCGATTCCCCAGATTGCTCGCAGTAGCACGATTACACTATGCATACCGTATTCATGAGCCTGCGGAAGGGCAGTGAAGAACGAAAACTATACTCTATACGGCCAACCGCTCCATCCCACACCTTCCGTGAACGACCTAGGTGTACTGTCGCGCTGCGATTTTAGGTCCGTGGATAATACGAACAAGACGGAATCGGAAAGCGCACGCTTTGGGCGCTCAAACGCGGCTTCTGCACCTGATTTGAAAAGTCTGCCATCATACGGCCGAGGCTAAAGTACGGCTCACCCGCCTGACCGAAACGAGGCACAAATGATCAAAGGGTCCAAAATGTCGATACTAGGCTTATCCCCAGTGTACGCGGTTTACCGTACGAAAACCGGTGCGAAATGGTACTCTTCGTGCTATTGTCTGGTGTGAGCCAATCACATAATGATCAACCGTACTTTACCTATCGGTTACTTTCGCATGCTGAAGCCGTTGCTCCACACGCGAATCCCATGCAGCACATGTGGACACCAGTACAAGTTTTTGGTGCCGAATCTGAAGCGAGTTGTCCACTCCTGTGCTTCGAACAGGAAGTACTCAGTGTTTGGACCAGTCGGCCAGAACAATTAGTGGGGGGTCAACTGTGCAGCAGTTCTAAACGCTACTGGATTACATTTCGTCAGTATTCGATTCAAAGAACAATGGTTCATTGCTAATGACATCACCTGCAGTTGAACATTTGTAAATATTACCCGACAACTTGGAAAACGATTAGAGTATAAACAGGTGATAGATACCTTTTAACGTTTTGATCGTATTTCGGAGGTTGTACAGATTTAAATTTCGACTTACTCTCATGACACAAGATTCAGTACTCGTATGAGACAATGAAGTAGGTGGAGGTCAGACAAACTCATTCTCAGTGCATTTTTCATCGGAAGCTGGGGTGAGGTTATAGGCCCTCTCTTCAAAACCCACCTGGCAGTAATATAACGTTGTAAGTTCATGTGGGCTCGATAAACAACTGATGAAATGCACTAAAAGTAAGCGAAAACCAATTTCTTCATTAACCATGAAGAGGGACGTAGCATAGTGATTTCGAAAAACAGTTTAGAATGAGAAGTTCACAGAGTTAATTTGGTCAAACCCACTCGGCAAGTTGAGGAATAATCAGATGGAAACGGAGCCGCTGAAAAGCTACTTCGGGCTTTTGGGCAGAGCACTGCAAAAGCGAAGATCATCCACATTGTTGCAAGACTGGGGATGTAGTTCATGTTTAGCTCGAAACGTATGTCGTTTGTCCCAGAGTGAAGATAAAGACAGACGGACTAGGGTCCCAGTACGCAAAATAAATGATGAAAAATTGAAGTAGAAAAGCACATACGAGCGGTCACCAACCTGGTGTTCATCAAGGTTGTCTTCATTCGATTCGTTCTCATCGCCCGTAGAGGAGCACACGTCGGAGAGATGGCTGATGGTTTGGTTGTGCGGAGAACTGTCTGTGCCATGGACACGACGAGGCCGTCGGTAAGCACCGCGTCCTTGGCCGCTACAAAAGAGACAACGATAGAACGACCTTAATTCAACAACACAATTGGAAGGAGTGCAGAAGCAAAAGAGGAGTTGGATAACTACGGATAATGATTAAAAAGTGGATAAGAACACTTCGGAGTGAGAGTAAATTGTGCTTGGGAACCAACTAACACAATGGTTGATTTAACCCAATGGAAACATATACAAATATATCAAATCGGACACCCACGCAATTTGAAGAGGCTTTCGACCCGATATGTCCATGCGACGAGGAAGCGTTTGCTGACTGGATGAAAGTATGCGTTTAGGAAATATTTTCGCGCCCAACCGATATCGCAGTTGTGATGGAGCTGGGGCAGAAATGGAGGACATCCCTCTGTTCACACGATTGAGACGGTGAAAGGGAGGTCTACGCCGAACAGGTTGCAAACGGTCAGTGCGAGAAGCCATGTATCGTCTGACCAGAGACGATTTAGCGGAGATTGGTCGATAAACCTAAAATGCGTTGGAATAAAGGAACATTTAAGGCTACATTTTCCAGCGTTAAACAATAGGAACAAGCAGAGTGGTGACGTCTAGTTAGAGACGTGGTTAGTGTGCAAATTAGCGCAACAACAAGTAAATAAAACGAAACATTTGCCATCGCAGTGAGCAAAGTTCGCCAACCTTGCGGTGGGTATGTACCGTGCCATTAGCTGAGCCGGGTATTGGCTTCGAATGGACTGATGGCCAAGTTCGTTGGTCAAACTCGGTGGTCTCGTTGTCAGCGTACGATGATGATTCGCTGCTCACTTTATCATCTTCGTGCATCGCACTGGAGAACGCAGCCGATTCTTCTGTCTTCATCGACGCTTGCTCAGATAGTAGAACTCGACGTCGTTTTCCACTGAATGACTTTCGCGATCCCCTTGCGTGTTCCAGCTGTTTGATGAAGCGGCGTTTTAAACGGTTCTCTTCGATCCGAGCAAGCTGTGGTTTCGTGGCCCCATTGGTAGTATTTTCTGGATCTGAGGCTAGATGAAGCTGCCAAAGCCACCGCGTTTGGGGTACATCAACTTCCAACAGATTGGCCTTCATGATTAGCATTTCCAAAGTGGTTCGTGATTCTGGAGACAGGTGATGGTAGAAGTACTTTTCACCATGTCGCGATGATATGTGTGAACTGGGCAAGAATGTGGTGTCTAGCTCGTCCGAATCATATCTGGCATGTGGGCTGGGCTTGCAGTGCGAAGTGAGTGAACTTCTCCCGTGTGACGAAGATGGCCTATCAGCAGATTCATATCGCCCTGAAATTATTACAGAAATGTAAAAAGAATAGAAAACAAGAAGTGCATGTGAGTAAGTTAGCGACTTCAAGCTTCATAATCATCCTAATAAAATAAGGGTAACATTTTGGGAGCTTCCAAACGGAATTCATGGAGGTTATGACCGTCCAGATGTTCATCATCACTCTACAGAAGAGGTGGGTGGATGTTTTGTTCGTTCGGGGTCCATCAGCAGCAATGTGAGGTGGATTAGACTGTCAAGTGCTTTTACTCCGGCTAGGGCTAGTGGTGTTAAATTTGGTTAAACACCTGCGATGGGGTGCGCACAGAGAATACGGAGAGAACAGACTAATGATGATAACATTGTTTTTTGCATGTAAAAATATGTGTGTTTACAATTGGTAAAGATCAGTTTGCAAAGGCGATCTTGCGCGGGCGCTACATAGCTGCATGATTGACTATGACTGTGCATGCTTTAAACACAGTATATGGTTTATGCGATTTGTTTTATCGAAAGATGTACGCGTTGGAACGCGTTCGCGTCCCATCAAGCGAATAATGGGTTGCCAGTGAGAGATTTAACCACTTCCGTGCTTTCCACTTTCTTTTTTCGAACCATAATAGCCCCTGCAGTCTAGTGGAGGTTTCTTATGCCCTTTGAGAACAATAATCAAACATTCAGGATCTCATATATAGCGTGGATATCTTCTGCTTCCACTTGTTACAGGTTATCTGGTCTGCAAAAGAGCAAGGTTAAAATCGTGCTTAAGTCGATGGAACTTCCGAACTAATTACCAGGTGGTGTTGCATTCTTATACGACCTGCTCGTGATTAGTAGCCAATGCCCCAGGGCAACATAACTGATTAGAAAGAAATTTGGCCACATATTTGTCCTACATGAAAAAGATTACGGACCAGAGTAGTACAGGTCTAGGGAAGGTAAATTTGGATAAGTTTCTCAGTGAATAAGATTGTACAAAAGTATAAAGTTTTTATAAATAAGTGGGTTTCATTTAGTGACGCTTTTTGCCTAATAGACGATTGGTCTGCTTGACTTGTTAGCTGGCTCAATGACGAGTCATTTTAAAGAGAAGAAAATCTGAGACGCAGGTCCTATACACCGTAATACGACAGCGTATATGCATCTCGAAGAGTGAATGTATAACTAAATTTTATGGTGCTTCCAATAGACACACTAACCAGTGTATTGGAAAAATTTTCGGGAACAGATGTATCTATTCACTGATCTAGGCACAGATTTTGACAGAGCACTCGTAGTCTGGGCACAGGCGGTGGGAATTGCCAGATATTCCCTTGTAGAAAAACCAAAAATAATCTATTGTAACGTCGCCCTAATGATGGAAAATGATCATTAAATTAACAGACCGATTGGTATGGTGATAAAACAAGCGAGAATGAGGATTGATTCGAGAAGCGGAACTAACCACATGCACAAAAACTTCATAAGTGGACGATACTTTCTTTGGAAATTATTGGGAATACTTTCTTTTTCCTCTTCAGTGCTATTTCACCCCTGTGTGTCAGTCACGCCATTCAGTTGGATGTTTGTATGCCCATTGCATTCGAGAAAGTAAACGGAAACACGCCTGTAGCGCCCCAATGAAAACCCTTATCCATTGCCAATTGTTTCTCTTGTTTTTCAGAAGCTTTCCCGAAGAACACGTCAGTAGACTAGAGGACAAAAACTGATGAACTTTTAAACATTTATCGTGTACTTTCACCCTTTATCCTTTCGTGGTAAATCTGTGTTTGTATGTACTGAACTTCTCAGGGCTGCCCGGTTTTGCAATAGACACCTCAGTCCGTCTGCCGCTCGTTATTCGTTGGACATACGTTCTTCCGCCAAGTCTCGTCGTGTGACGTGTGCCTAACCATGTGTTATCCTTTTTAGTCTCTTCCTGATTGCATTATTGTGCATTACACGCCAGTCAGAAAGGGTCCATTTTCAGCAGGGGTACTTCTGGCCTAGTAGAGTCAGAGCACAGATCTCAGAGCGAGACTAGTTACAACTGAGTTGCTCTGACTGAAACAGTATTCGCTTACCACACAGAATGTACGTGTCATTAGTTTGCATGAGAAATTGCTGGAATCTATGGTTTTGTGGTGAATGACACATTCATTACGCGTCTGCCAACAACAAAAGGAAAAAATGGACAATTTTATCGCACTATAAACCTGGGGACCACATATGATAAGTTCTCCCAACAAACAATTCGGTGAGAAAGACTGAGGGAGATAGATCAAGGAGTAAACGCTGCGAACAAGAAACGTCTAGGATTTTCCCTCTTCAGACACAGCCCCACTAAGCAACGTGGTTGTGATCTACACCAACCTGGTTACCATAAACGATAACAACACCGCGATGCAATCACACCACGATCGATTTAGTGTAACCGCTTACCAGGCATCAACAAGGACGCATACGAATCAGTAACAATAATTCGTAACATCGATCATAAAGCCACATGCTAAAGGTGAGGCACGTTTAACTGAAATGTGTACGTGTGCGACCCTTTATGGTTAGTAAGGACAGGTGTTATGAGAACGATAGGGAATAGACGCTCGAAAAATCAACACGCCCCCATGTGTGTGCACTGAGTAAACTTATACAAGTCAAAGCTCAAGAGTGTGCATGAATGCACGGCTGAAATTACTTTTAAAAGAAATTTTCTGCCCAACGTAGTCTTAAGCGCTGTCGAAAGATTAGCGACTGAGTGAAGAATGTGGTGCCGTTTTAAGTCAGCCACATTACCTCTGCACTTCGGATGACTAGCACAGCCAGCTACTTGGTTAAGGCGTCAGCGCCATCACATCCCCAAGGCCCAGTGATCATAAGCACTGCTCCAGAGGAGAGGGTTGCAGGTCCGGGTTTCTTACCAAGAAGAGGCAGCGTGCACTGCTGCAAAAAGGAAACTAATTTCCAGTGCTTTTCGGGATGTGCGATGGAGCTTATTGGCTGAGTAAAGTTAAAGGAAATCTTCGAAGTTAGTCCGATTCCACCTAACCTAACTAGAGGGGCAAGGAAAAAGCTTCAAACGTACGCCAGTACGCAGCACTGACGCTTCGCTGCCATGTAACCACCAGTCGCGCGTGGGCTACGATAGTGCGAGGGTCGCCCGGTCCACTACGCAGGCTCGAACCCGCAACCTCCGGATAACACGGCATGCTTGCGATCCTTAACGCCACGAGCCTAACTGAGAAACACTATTTATTGAAGAAAAAGCGTATCAACACGTGTTGACCGCACTTACCAACATCGGTCCTCACACGAATTGGCATACAAGTGGGTGATCGAGCAGCTTGTTTACATTGAACCAATGATCGTTCTTGTCCCGAGAGTACGCGCCGTTCTGCTTGGGAATGAAGAGACCACATTGGTCTAGGTGAATCATGAAAAGGTGTATATTCGGAGGAGTAAGGTGGTGATCCAATTGAGGGCTGATCTGACAACGACGCGGACATTTCTGCCAATGCTTCCGCTGCGCCGACTCTCTGTTCATCGCACCAATTCTCTGGACCGCGACCAGTGGGAATGTCATGAATTGTAAGGGGTGTTTTGCGTGCCTATTATTGTACAAAGATACACACATTGGTTATGATGTTGAAATCGAAGCCACGAGAAGATGCTGAGAAGAACAAAGGTAATTTTCCGGTTCAAACAAAGATTAGCAGACTCACGTGCCGGCGAGCCGATGAAACTGGATCTGATTCATGAAACGGGCCAGGAGGTCGTATGCACTTTGTCTCTTTAAATGACCCAGCTCGTGGAACAGAACGGGAAGGGTATGGCTCGGCTGTGCTAGATGCAGCATGCTCCAATCTTTGCACACGCTGCAATGCGCGATCGGTAGGTCCCGTGCAGGGGGCAGAAGTTTGTTTCATACTCTCCGTGTAGTCAAGGGGCATTTTCGCCCCAACGTACTGCTCATATTTTGAGACCATTTGAGATAATTCTGGGCTAGACTGGAGAGGGGAGTAAAAAGGAACGCCGTATAAGGCAATGTAATCGAGCTCTAGATAGATTGCCGCTGTGCTAAGCAGAATTATTAGGATTCAGAAAGCTGATTGATAAAATTAGATCTGGTACTAAAACAGAGTAGATCGCTTAAAATAAAGAGAGTGTGAGAGTGAAGAGAAAAAGCGACTAAAAGCATACAGCCACGATAGGCGACATAACAAATGGAGTGAAATTGCTTGTATAGAATCAATCTTGTGATCAACACTGGATTAATGAAGCGTTAAATTGATGGTGCGCGCTGTCTTTTTAGAATGGATAGTGGATGGACCCTGAATTTGAATTATTCAACCTAGTGGTTGGACGCAGCCTAATTCAGGCAGTAGCAACAAAAAATGTGTTGTACTGAGTGCGAGTCACAAGTAAGCACGGAAGGGGAATATTACGTCATATATCAGTCGCACCGATTCGAAGTGAATGAAGCAACGCAGATAAACAACAGTAGCGCCATGAACAGCGTCAAGAATCTGCCAAATAAATGTCGTTGGGGATAGCAGAAGTGTAGATCACGGTTGATACTGCTGTCCGGGGAGGTTCACTACTTCGCTAGATCGGAAAAAAACAATGGCAAGGTGGGAAGTCATGATGTTTGGTCTGCAGGTTGCCATCACTGACTAATGATAGATAATAGCAACTAGTCTCCGATGAAATGACGGCTTACGTCGAACTGGGCACAGGCCATAAAAACAAAGAAGTATTGTGTGAACGCATCTGATATCATGAAGTAGTCAACTCTAAACTCAGCAGCGCTCAAACAAGGAGGAATTCAAGACGGAATGCAGTTATGAGAAAAAAAACAAGAATTCTACTATATAATGACCTCCCTAACCACAAAAAATTAAAACCCCGTAAGCATACTTTGACCAATCGTTAACGGATGTTAAGGGTGTACAAACATTGGGAAGATATCAGCCTCGAGAAAATGACGTCCAAAGGGATTGTGTCCAGAACCTCAACCGTTATCTCAGGTCTCGTAAATTATGCCAATTAACGGATTAAACAGAAGATAAGTGCGAAGAAATTTCTTTTCTATACGTCTCTTCAAGCATATATAATTATGAATTAAGCTGTCAATGGAATAATAAGCTGTTTCTAACTAAGCAGAATTAATCTGGGTCGAGCATGTTGGATACCATAGTCCAGTGGTGTAAAACTCGAGACCACCGGGAGGCCTCCATAAATAATAATAATAATAATAATATGTCAGTTGTACGCCGAAACGGCGCATCGCTGCCGTGCGACCATCACCAGTCGCACGCGGGCTGAGTATACCGCGACGCCCACCCCTACGTGGATTCGAACCCGCGTCGCATGGGCAAATATTTGTTGTCATGACGGCCGCACACGACAAGTAATTGAGGCCTATATATGTATTTATTGGTATGTATGTTATAATAATAACAATACTTTAATTACTCCAACTTCGTGACACATGATTTGCATACACATGGTTTAGTGGTTAGGCACATCCATAAATGCAAGGTAATTAAGTAATATAACAGTAGAATTGAAGATAAAATTTTAGCAGTAGCAGTATGTGACAGAAACCAGTGTATTGTACAACCGTTACAACATACAAAATGAACATTTTTATTGTGTTTTCCTGGGGCTTGACACCACTTAAGGACAATTGTTGCTATATCCGGCCGAAATGTCTGTGCATTTCTGAAGTTGATCAGAGATGACAAGTGTTTATCAGTCAATCGAGAAGTTCACCGAGAAGTTTTTTTTTGCTTTCATGAAAGAAAATAACTGCTCACAAACACAGGTAGAACCGAACAACATTGCCATAATCCTTGTGGCAAAGTTCCTGAAGTTTTAATATTTTCAGAAAGGTAAGAAAAGAAACGAAGTACTCCACACTTCAAGGTACTTTGCTCGAAGTGTAGAGTAAGACTGCATTTCTAATAGTTCCATCTGTAGTTTTTTTCTGCTTTTTCAAAGTCAAAAGTGAATGGTGGTGAGAATAATGCAAATTGTGATTCACAAGATGAGAGATCACGAAATCTTTCCTGAAATTCTTTTGACAAAAATTCCAGGTGGCTGTCATACTTCGCAAAGCTAAGTACAGTAGTGGCGATGTTCAGCTGTTTGCAGTAAGGAAAAGGAACTAAATTTCCGTTTGACAATTCAGCTGCTCATTTGTTGGCCGAGCTTGAACATGTGTTTGCAAACGTTTCACCGCTATGCGAGGTCGCATTATCAGTGCGCTGATATGCAGTGTGTAATATCGCTGATTGTTCGTTCATTTTGACAACTGTGACTTCCATAAGCTTAGTTTTGTAACGAAGCATTTGATGTCTTCATACAACTGAGTGATGAACTTGTTCTTACCTTACAATTTCAAATTAAGATCAGTTAAGTGAGAAGTAATTTTCACAACAAATGTCAGATCTTGGAGCCAAATTGCACCTTTTAGGTCATAAGAGTTTTGACCTTTTATCTCCGAAAACATTATTATTTCTTACCTCAACAAATAAAACTACTTCAACATTTTGTGACATGATAACCAGCGAACCTCTGTGTAGAGTGGAACATCGGTAAACTGATTATCCATTTCTTCCAACGGCTGACTCAATTGACGGTGGTTGAGGGCACGGCCTCTGAAACAGTTCATTGTCTGTGACCAAACTGAGCACATGATCCAATTACAAAATCTTTGAACACAAATTTTGCTGATGAATAGTGCAGTGGAAATGTGCATGTGATGAATATGGGTGCGGTTTAATCAATTCTTCAAAAATATTAAATTCCCTGTCACACGCCCTGATGATCATCGCAAGCAGGGCTACTCCAGTGATGTCAGTGGTCTCATCAACAGCAATGTTGAAAACCAGATGATGCGGCCTTCAGCTGTTGTTTCAAATCAATTGGCCTCATCAAGTGTTCATGTTTAATAAAATATCTCTGAATAAGTTTGCTTTTTCTGGACACAATTTCGACCGTTTTTAAAAGGCATTGTTTCACGATATTTTCTTCACTGTAAGATTTCTCACTCAGGGTGATCGTTCGGCGGACTTCATAGCTTGCAGTAGTGGAAGCCACGTTCTCTTTCACAGTTTTTGTAAAACAGCTCTGTTGCGGTCTCAAGTTACCCTTCAATTCCTTGAGTTTTGACACGTAGTACGCTTTCTTATTTATCATAAGATCGATGGGTCACTTCATAAGGTCTTTTCAAGTTGTACTCTTTCGACGTGGCAACGCTGTTGTTGCAAATTACACAATGCAGGTTTCCATTCGGCGCTGTGAAAAAATACCGTAATTCCCATATTTCTTGAAAAAATCGGCCTTCTTCGTTCACTGTGGAATCTGAACGGTGTTCATTATATTGTAACGAAACCATCTCACTCACTTTATCATAAACAGCAACAAAAGTTGTGCGCGAGAACTAAGGTGATATCGGTTCGTGTGCAGCCACATACATATTCGATACACGTCGAGCAGTGCGTGCACGGCGGACAACCAATGAAATCCCCGACGGATAGGCATGATCTGGGCGTGGTTGTTGATACAAGCAATCGGATCCCAGAGGGACAGGCTCGATCAGGACATGCGTGGAGTGTTAAAAGACATAGTTTGTTTTAAGTCTGAAATTTCATGCTCCACAGCTGCATTCCTGTTTATGTTGTACTTATGAAATCGATTAAAAGGTGGTTGGCTATTTCAAAGTGGAAACGACAACCGGAATAAAGAATAGTAGACCGCTTTTACTCGGAGGACATCCTTTCATCTAGCTTAACTTAAGAAATCTACAATTTTAGCCGTTTAATGACCAAATTACAGTATCCTTTGTGCGGACCGCAGAGATGCATGCAAAGGGCCGCATGCGGACTGCGGGCCGCGTGTTTAACCCCTTCACGGTAGTCGGTGACCAAATCTGAACATAATCATAGATCAATTAGTCTAAAGTCAGCTAGCTGGTCCATGGTCATAATAAAGTCAAATTTCGCACGAGCGCCTTCTGATTTGCATAGCTCTGGCTTCAGCTTTCTGATTGCAATGGATTCCGCAGTTGTCAACAAATGCTTTTTGAGTCTTTTAGGGAACCGTTTCGATACAAAGCATTTTGAGGGAGTGCTTAATCTGAACCCAATGTTAAAAACTCACAAGACGCTCAAAAATTAAACTGGGCCGTCTTGATAGTGCCATGCCGCAAAGAGGCAGCGCAGGTCTCTAGCAGAGTGAGATTACCGTTCCAAATGCTACCCTTTGCAGAGTGGAACACAGCTGACACCTCTGTGTCAACGAAGGTCTAGGTTTTGTAAATCACATTTCTGATCGTCTGTGTGTGTCTGAAAGTGCAATAACTGAAACACTCAACGTATTAGCATCAGGCACATTTACATGGACGCGGTAATCCCACTGAGGATATCAGTTAAGACCAACATGGAACACATCCAAATTGGGCCATTGCATGCCGTGCACACCACATCGCAGAGCATGTAGATACTAACTATTCAAAAGATGGGGTGAAACCCAGCGGGTTCTAGCAGATGGATCGTCTATAGCCAAAAAGAGAGCAGCACTGGGAAATGTCGAAACTACGATGGAATTATTCGTTGGTAACATCGGTTTTCCATCCTGCGTCTCATCGCGACTTTAAAGAAGCACACGGAAGTTGCATCTACACAGGGATTATAGGCGGTTTACAGTACAACACCCACACGCCTAAAACGGATGCAGATGAGATAGGAGGGAGTAAATAGGCGTCCGACTACGCACTGTCAATGCCTCATCGTGTGTCGGCGTGCTGACCGTAAGGTTGTTTTGGAACCAGCTATCGAGTGTGGCCATTACTGCCTTGATCCTAACACGACGAACGACGATGTTAGTGTCTCATCAGATACGCATCGGAATCAAAGGGACGACAATATACAATACGTAATCAAATATTCCCATTACACGAGACAGTTATAGACTGAGCTATGAGCACTTGAGCCAAAAAATCAATTAATGGCTCTTGAGGCAGTCCACTCGTAACACGAAGCACATCAGACACTCCCAGGACAGTAAATCGATTTCGTCGCCAGGATTTTCAGAAGAACCATGCAGAAGACTGATCTCATTAGCTGAACCAAGAGATAACAAGGTCAGTGGTTCGTTTCGGTACAGCCGTTAAAGAGGCGTCATGCCCATCCATTCGACTGTATCTGGAACTCAATGGAATACCGCAGAGACACTACTAAGCATCTCACTGACAATGGAAAATCGGCTAAATGTGGACAATTTGCATCTGATATCGTTCGGTCTCATGCGAAGATGTTCTGTAGTCGTGAGCAGCGGTGTGGAGATGCGCTTTTTGGCCTTGGACAGCTCCATATAAAGCACGCTGTGACGGGTAAGTAGGCAAACCGGAAACAATCCATGGTAGTGGACGCGAATCGAGTCGAGTATGTGCACCATAAATTGGTGGCGGATGCACTTGATGTGCAGATACCGGTGGACTGACCCCGAACTGCAACGGTGCAACAAAGCCCGACTGATTCCAGATCATTAATATATTCTTGGTGAGCGGATTCAAAGGTAATCTAAAAGCCAACCTCATCCAAGTGGACAGTAGAGGCACGTTAGGCAATCACATGATGTCCGCCCTTAGGAAAATTGAACAAATGGCAAAAATTGACCCTCCAAGTTCCACCGAGCGAATTGAGAATAAACCAATGTCGAAAAAGCAGCTGGTACTACCAAGCTTAAAACTAAACTTAGCTAATTTTATCGAAAATTGTTTAGAAAAAGTAAAATCACCTCAGGTCACCTGAGTTAGTCCATTTTAAGGCAACAAATGGACTTCCGTAACATTTAACTGCTCCAAGTGCACGAGCAAGATTAGTAGTCATGTGTTATGTGTTCAATTTCCAGTTGGAAAACCGTTAGTAGAGTGGTTGGAGAGCAAATACTCTGTAGTGGAAACATTTACAGACGACAGGTTCCGTAACAACAACAACGACAACAACAACGTATCCTGGGCAAAGTTTTGTGTGTGGGACGGAAATACACTCCATGACCCAATGGAAGGCAAACATCTCTGGCCGCAGCCAACAACCTTTGGTACATGTTTCTGCTAGTTAGACTTTGCCTGCTTGATACTATAGTCAGGATGGTTTGCGTCGAAATTCGTTGCCTGTGACACACATGTTAATAAGATTGTTTCTTGTAAGGCTGGGTCAACAGCAGTAAAATGCAAACAACCCTATCACAAGGAGGTTAGGAAGTAGTTATCCCACTCGGTAATGAGTGAAGTGCATTGCGAAAGTATGGTCCCATTAGCCTTCTCGATTGAACTTTTCGGTCAACAGATAATTGGTGCTAACTCCTTCGCTTTTAGCATAACCGTTACCGTTAGGAAGATAGACTGCTGATAACTGACTGCATGATGACTGGAGGACACTTGACCTGAATATTATCAAGGGTCATGGGGATGGTAAAAATGGGACTGGAGGTTCCTGATGTGCTTCGAATTATTGTGGTGCTCTTTTCTCTTTTCTCATTTCTTCTGCAAACATTCATCAGCAGGCATCGTTATAAGCAAGTGATCGGATGACGAACCAATGAATTTCTCCAGAAAGGGAGTAAATCATAGTAATAAAAAGGAAGAAAGCCGATTCCCCGTTTTGAGGGAGACCTCAAAACAAAAAAACTCCAAGTACAACGAGTCATTTTGGACATATATACGTTCGAGAAATTAGTCGCGAAGTTGCTGCCGCAGTCCTTAATCTGATTCAAAAAAGACGGCGTCCTATGATGCAGCCTGTGTTAAAGAAGGCCAGTCCACTTCACTTAGATCACTCGAGGAAGAAGACTGTAATTAATAAGGCTATTATAAGGGATTTAGAAGATCATCAACCTTCCTGATAGATGTAGAATACATTGGCTTAAATTCTCTGTAGCAGCGCTTCTCACCTGTAGTGTCGAGCGGACGAGGCGAATGAATGCTAGTGCTCGCTCACACAGCATCTGCAGAGCAGCGAATTCGGGTAGTTGGGCCAAACAAAACGGTCGCCGATTCCGTGCCACTGTAGAGGTGGGAACCGCTTGTGAATGCGATGGAACCATGCTATTCAAGTCATCCAAAAGCTTGAACACGGTTGCCAAATCAGGACGAAGGCCTCTTTCACAACGTGGGCACATGTATCGAAATCGTTCAGCCTCAGATTCCTGAAAAGCAAAATAGACGACAATTGGGAAAAACTGCTACGCATTTGAAGGAGTATGTCATCAATCAAAATGGGACAGTTCAATTAGGTTCTTTGTGACAATGCTTAGAAAACAGGGATATATAAAGGAAACACTAAAGCAACAACTTAGGTCACTAGCACCGCTCGCTCGAGTGAAACGGCCCACGACACCACGCACATTCACAATGATGAAGCACGTGTGTCAGTCGACTGAGTGACGAAGAACTCGTTCGGTCGTCACTGGTGTTCAGTGTGAACGATGTTTAAGGTATAGTTACACATATTGTAAAACGGTAGCTAATATAAGCGCCCTCGGATTACATAGGCCAGATTTTGTTAACTGGATACTGTGGTCTCGGCGATCCTTAGGGTGAGCTTTCTAACTATAAATAAATAAATTGTATATTCCTCGACGATGCGAGAAGCTGTTCCCTAGAAGGAACAGATCAAATAATGGTACAACTTTTCCATAACATTTCATCAATACATTTTCAGAGATAAAAATGGGCGCAATTGCAAATTAGGTTACACAGAGTACTCAGAATCGTTCTGCTATTTTTTCCATTGAATCAGGATTCTTCACAATCACATGACAGATATTTGGGCCGAGAGAAAAAATGTAATGAAATGGGCTGTTGTCCGAAATGTTATGTGTATGTGTTTCGGAAATTTATTCAGGCAGCATCGATATTGTTTTCCAATGCGTTATCTAGGGACTGTGATGTCCCGAACATGTTAATCACGTTTTGGACGGTTAAATGCCTACTAATAGCAAGCTTAAAATTGCAAAGAGTATATCATGTTCTGATATCACTTAGGAGTTTGTTCCAAATCTTTGAGTATTTGGTTAGAAAGAAACGTTCTCTGATTCTTGTAGTAAATTTTGGAATCATGACCTCTTTGTTACGGATTGGATATCTGATGTTTAAGGATATGTAAACACCGTTTTCAAGACTGCGAATTTGACGGTTTATGATTCTGTACAGAAAATCTCGGTTCAGATTCATTATCCGAAGCCAAACTTTGTCAAATCCAAGCTTATCTCATCGCTCTCCGTATGTCAACTTTGAGGAATATCCACATAGCTTTATCGTGAAGCTCCTCTGGACCCTCTCGAGAGCGTGCTGGTCAGATTTCCGCAGATTAGACTGTACCACTGAACAGCATCCCATACACGGCAATATATATGTTTTGTAAAGCGATATGCGAGACTCCGTGAGGTAAAAATGATGGCAGATATAACCGATGGTCTTCATGGCTTTCGAAACTTGAAAGTCACAGTGTTCAGAAAAGTTATATACGTAGTGTCGTTTATGAACAATGCAAGAGAGGAGTCCGAGATCAGAGTTTGATGTTCACATTGAAATACATGTTAGGGAAAAGAATTGCTGATACCTCCGACTCTGTCATTATATGGTGACGCTGTACAACACCCGATTGTTTGTCTGTGCTCTGTCAGCAAATGGAGACAGAATGTATGAATCCGGCTGGACTGGGAGATTATAGCCCTAGAGTGTTGAAGCGATGGGAAGTCTGTGTGACCTAGGGTGCATACACAGAAAAAAATGTCGTAGGCAAATTGTCCGCGAAAGGATCTAAGTCAATAGGGGCACGTGTTAAGTTCGATTTTAAATTTCTAGGTGTTATAAAGTACCATCCAATGACAATGTGTCCGTTATTATTATTATTATTGTTGCTGTTGTTGTTAAGATGTGCGCGCAAGAGCGAATACGGATCATCGAGCTTCAAATGGCGCATTGGAAGCCATTAGGGAATCGACGCTCGATAGGGATAGATAATGTAGATCTACCGACCACAACCGTTGTATAAGCAGAAGCGCTTTTCAGCATAAAAGTTCATTCCATCTTGGATGAAGACAGCCGAACCAAACTGAGCATATAGCCTACAGTTACAGATGGCCCACATCAGAGTAACATTTCAAGTCGACCTACTGTATGCGCTTGGATTCCAATAGCGACCCACAGCATTCACTCCGCATCCAACTTTGGGGCATTTTACTCAACACGTAGATTCACGTTCTATCATACAGATTCATACTACTTCTCGTCGATTAAGGTACAAAACACCAGTGCAAAACATTGGTGTATCATGAGTCAAGAAACCGAGCCTTCAAAGCGTGATGTGCGGTCCTGCATGTGTGCGTGACCCGATTTGGACTTTAATTCATTTGTAATCGTGTATACGTATATTAAAAGGAACTGGGTTAAACGGACATGGACAACATACAGTAAGGAAAACGCTTGATGCAGTTAGTAAGCACTTTAAACAACATCCCACGAGTATGGTTTTTCTTCTCCAGGCGTGTCACCGGAAAGTTGATGTTCTGAATAACTCATCCAACGTTACAGTGTATCGTACCCTGTAGCCTATTCCCACGTTATCATCTTGTTCACTTGAGGCACGATGGTGTCCTCCTCGAGATCACCAGCCGGTTGGCAAAGGCTCGAATCACCATTGCTAATCTTCACCGGCTGTGGCGCCTACTAGACATCACTCTAGCCCTGAAAAACAGACGGTACGATGCAAACGTTAGTTCGACCCTAACGCCGGGCTGAGTTCCGAATGACGACGAACACATGTGGTTGGTTACGTATATTTAAGTGGAAGGGGTTAAACGGTGATATAAACATCAACGCAGTAGATGTTCAAAGTGGCCACCGGCGTTCTGCTTGCAGTGCAGAAATCGCCTGAGACAGTTGGCAAGAACCTTCTCCAATGTTTCCGTGATAATGGCGCGACATTCGTTCACGATGTTCTCTTTCAATTGTTCCAATGAATTCGGACTTGTCTTATAAACTCTTCGTTTAAAATGGCCCCATAGAATGAAATCCAAGGGGTTCAAATCGGGTGACCGGGCAGGCCACTCCGTTGGTCCGTCGGTGGCCGAAAATCCCGCTCAAATAATCACGAACCGTTTGGGTGTAATGTGCAGGTGCGCCATCATGTTGCCACCAAGTGGTACTGCATAATCCATTGGCCTCCAACTGCGGAAGTACGCAGGTCTGCAACATTTGCTTGTAAGACGATGCTATGACAGGCATGGAATTAGTAATGTACAAAAAACAAGAAAAATGGGCCCACGATTTTTCGACCAGTTATTCCAGCCCAAACCATGACCTTTGGGTTATGTTGCGTACGTGAAGCTCGGTAACGTCGTGGATTAGATACTGCCCAATAACATTGCTTCTCGATTCCGTTCAAATGGAACACAGATTCATCGGTAAAAGTAATGGAATGAATATCCATGTGATCCAAGAACCAGCAGCTAAATGCATGCCGTTTCTCCAGATCGCAAGGGGCTCAGAACTTGTACTTGAAGTTCACCATACCGACGATATTTGCTTTCCTTCAAAATCCGCTGAACAGCGTAACTGGTGGTGTCACAATGCTGCGCGATTGTACTGATGCTGAGCTCGAGATTTTCGGTTACTTCGCGGATAACATCGCAAGCCGAAAACTCATCCGTAGTGGTGCGAGGCCGACCAGTTTTCCTGGCGTTGCAAACATTACCAGTTTTTCAAACTTTTGCACCAGTTTCAGAACGTAACGGCCACTCAGGTGTCGCATTCTCGCGTTCATGTTGTTGTATTGTCGGGCCGTTTCTGTAGCGTTTAAACCGCACTGACCATACAACCGAAGAATCAGCACGCGCTGATCAACAGCCAGGCATTGTAACTCCAGTTGCTCAGATGTCACCGAGGTATATGCTTCACCGTGATCCATCGCTCAGACACGGTTCCGAAACTGCAACCATTCTCCGCAGTAACCTGATATGGTTTGGCCAACCAAATACCGGTGGGTCGCCATAAAATACTATCGATCATCGTTGTCGCACTCTCCACATCCATCCATCATCTAAGCGGTCGGTTGGCCAGTTGACACCGGTAGAGGGTCTGCACGTACGCGGTGCGTTGGTATTTGCACAGCCCGGTGAAATGAAAGGCTTTCGGCCCCATATTCTCAATGGACCTGTATAATGTGCAAAGTGAACGGCTAGGAATTTCTTGAATTTCAACATCGATTTCGCCTCGGTTATTGTCTCGGTCCGTAGCCTAGAGGTAACGAGGTTGTCTCGTAATCTTGCGGCGCGGGTTCGAATCCGCGTAGGGGTACGCATCCTCGCGGTATACTCAGCTCGCGTGCGACTGGTGGTGGTCGCACGGCAGGTAAGCGCCGTTACGGGGTACAGCTGACACATTATTATTATTGTCTCGGGTAAACGGTTTCAATGATTCACCACTCGACGCTCGAAGTAAGATGAACTATCCGCCTTAGATCCGGCACCACAAGCTTGTACCGGTACTCGCGAGTACTGCTTGCTGGGTGCACGTGCAGCAGCGACCTCAGCATAGGGGAATCACCCAGATATAATATCCGGCACGTCCTCATGATGTTAACGCGAAACCGACGAGACCACAGGTTGTATAACCCGTCTCCTGCATCGATCTTCGTACGACATGCTACGTAAACTGCGGGATGAGCCTAGAAGCAACATGCTGGACACGTTCCAGATTTTCCACTCCACCACGGGTGATCGGACAATAGGCAGATGAACCCTACTCGAGCACTGGCGTATTATGGAAGAGGCGGGTTGCAATCTCTTCAGACCCAGATGGAAATGGGGTGTTACCCGCCTAAAAACCCTGCAGACTCAATTTAAAAGCTGTGATTGAGCGGCAAAAGCGTACGTAGTCCGTTTCCATATAGCTTATTCGTATTGTCCACGGAATCCGAATCGCATTATGAGTGTACCTAGGTCCTTCAAGGGGGTGTAGGATGCATTGGTTGGCAGGCCGAAGTGTACTTACGCCCATCACCATCCTTCCCTAGGCTCACAAATAACAACTTGACTGGGTTAATCGGAGGATCGGCAGTTGTGGACCACATGGACAGAAGGTCCATGTGTTGCTGAAGTACGTCGCAGCTGTCTGGAGCATCAACAACTCTCCAAATCTTCAG